AATTCTAAAAGAATTATAGATGAATAACAGGATAAAATAAATCAATTGAAATAATTAAATATAAATTTAACCAAACTACAAGGGGTTCACATCAAAGGTTGTGACCCTTACCACAATATAAAAACTAGACAGACATATTCATGTCTGACAATTCAAAATATTCAAAAGAATTCATAAAACTAAATAATGACCGGAAAGAATGGAAGAAGAAATCTTGAATCTTCAGTCACCGAAAGCTTGCTCCGATTCCTATTGCTCGCAATTTCTCCCGTGCAAAAGTTCTTTTCTCTTGAGGTCTGAGTCTTTATTTATAGAGTCTTTGACCTTGTGTAGAATCTTGATCGAATCCTTGTCGCAATCTCCGTGCAATCTTGACTCTGATTTAAAAGGGATTTAATGCTGATTGACGCACCTCCCACGCCACTAGCGTGGTTCCCACGCTGTGAGCGTGGGATTTTTGTTAAGAATCCTGGAGCTCAACGCAACTAGCGTGGTTACCACGCTTCAAGCGTGTACTGCTTGAGAGTCTGGTGCTACTAGCGTCAATTCCACGCTAGTAGCGTGGTAGCTTCTATCTGTTTTTGACCTCTGGCGCTACTAGCGTGAGTCCCACGCTAGTAGCGTGGATGCCTCTGTCTGAAATTGTCTCCTCACGCTTACAGCGTCATACCCACGCTCTCAGCGTGGGCTTTTAGTTTAACAATTTCCTTTTTAGCTCCAGTTTGTCTGTTTTTCCTACGAAATCAACACAAAATCAATATGCAATCTCTGATTGAGATTTTAACAGATTATCAGTAATATTTTCCCTTTTTGCTTAAGATTAATCAACATTCTTTCTCTTTTTGGCTTAGATTTCCCTATATGCTAAATGCATATCACCCAACCTCCTCAATATCATATATGTATCTCTCGATATGCACACATGAAAAAGAATAAGCAAACTCGTTGAATAACTAATTAAACATTAATAAAAACAATATTTAGGCATACATCTCAATATTACAATATAGGTATTCTATCACCTAACCTATAGAGTAATTTAGCTCATAGTGAAATTAAATAAAACAGAGATGAGGAAGAAAGAACTCATTGAAAAACAGAAAAGAAGTTGAAAATGAATGTTGTTGTAAAACTTTGTCACGGTCTTGCTCCAGCACCTCTTCCTCCTCAAAGAATCTTACTTTGTCTCTCTAAAACGTGGTGTGGGGTACTACATTCTTCCCAGCCTTCTTGAATTCGTAATGTAGTCCTCTTTAAATAGGAAAAGGTGGTTGGTTAATTGGGCCTTAGGTTTGGGAGTGAGAATCCATGAATTGTGTTGTTGCAGCCTTATCTTATCTATATTTTCTTGGGCTGTTGACACTTGATTGGATAAGATCTTGATCTTCTTGATTTTCTCGTGCCAATATTGTTGTTGACTAGATAAGAGTTTGTTGTCCTTAATCTTTGGGATTTTTGGGATAATAATTAATCTTCAAGATCGTCCTTGATCCTTGCTTGCTGGTGCTTTATCCATTTGTTGGGGAATAACTAACTTTTGAATTTTGAAAATTCAATTGCTCCTCTGTCATTGCTGTTATGTTGTACCGATTGCTATATCATTACTTCGTCAGCTTCTCTGCTACAACATTTTGGCGTCAACTTTTCCTGCGAAGACAAACACTCAACAAATCATCTATTCTTATACAAAATCAAGGAATATTGTCTCATTTTTCACACTTAGTCATCTCAAAGAACTTAATCATGAATATGCAACATTTAGCTCAACTATCATGCAAACAAGACAACTTATATGAAATTTATGCAGCAAATTCATCATAAAAAAACCAAATCAACTCTCATTTGGGAGAGTTAACATATATTCTGGAAAAACATCTTTAAATTTAGAAGCAATAAACAATATTTCATATGTTGAATTCGATGTAATGAGACAATCAACAACTAGTTCCCTTTGTTTTACACCCATCTTCTTAACAATATCATAGAAAGTCTTCAATCTTGAGTCAAAATGATTAACTTATTTGACACTTTCATGAACATTTTCAATGATACCTTTGATCTGACTAAGACCATGTTGCACTAGCAAATACAATATGTGAGCACAACATCTCACATGAAATAACTGTCCACAAAGGACTAAATTAGTGTTTGTTGCTAATGTGCTTTTCAAAATTCTTATACAAACATAATTGTAGGCTGCATTGTCCACATATACTGAAAATACCTTACTTTCAATTCCCCATAAATGTAGACATTTAAAAATTGCATCAGTGACATCAACTCCACTTCTTGGAGGTGGAACCTTAACAAAACTCAACACTCACTTTTGTAATTTCCATTAGAATCAATAAAATGGCCAGTGATGGCCATATATTCAGCTATTTTGTGACTAGACTTCCACATATCAGTAGTTATACTATCCTGTTCACATCCATCAATAAAGCCTTCAAACTTTTCTTTTCTCTTGCAGTAATACACTAAACTTTCTCAAAATCAGCATTCGCAAACTTAAAAGCCCACATCCAAACATTGTCTTCCACAATATTGAAAGGTTACTCGTGAATCATAAATGCAGTAGCTATAATTTCTCTAATATTTTCAATGATACACTTCCCTCCGAGTGCAAGAAAAGGATTCAAAGTAGAACCTGTAGGCTGGAATGATAAAGTGGTTTGATTCTTCCCTGATTGGTTTAATTTCCTATTCAAGAAATTTTGTGAATGCTTCCTTGGATGACTAATGCTTCCTTGGTGTGATTCTTCCACAAATATATATATAAAATCATTTCTACAGCCGCTTTACGTACAACAATGACAGGTGTATGGTTATGATTTCCCACATTTAATGCTTTCATCTTTTGTATGGTTATGATTCTCCACATTTAATGCTTTCAAGTATATATATGGCAAGTATTTGACTGCTGCATATACAACAACAGCAGAAATATAAACCTCATATATATATATAAGCATTATCGTTTCTCAAGTTGCTTGAAATGACTTTATCTCTGGCTACTAAATCATAACCGTACAAAGATGGATCATTGGTGATAAAGAAAGAGAAAAAATGGGAATCGTACCCTTTTAAAGGTGAATGAATTAATATAAGGAAATAAATAGACAAAACGACGTAGCTTTGAGCTGACCGGAGATAAATATATCCCAAGTAACTTGAGAAATATTTTTTTCATATATATATATATATATATATATATATATATATATATATATATATATATATAGGTAAAATTATTTCTACAATCGCTTTATGTACAACAATGTCAGGTGTATGATTATAATTCCCCACATTTAATGCTTTCATCTTTTGTATGATTATGATTCTCCATATTTAATAATTTCACATATATATGGCAAATATTTGACTACTGCACGTACAACAACTCTAAAAATATAAACCTCATATATATATATATATATATATATATATATATATATATATATATATATATATATATGTATACATATATGGAAAAAATATTTCGCAAGCAGCTTGAGATAAGTTTATCTTCGGCCATCCCAAAACTACGTCATTTTATTTATTTATTTCCTTATATTAATTGATTCACCTTTGAATGGTTATGATTCTTTTTTTTTTCTCTCTTCCTTTATTATCATTGATCCATCTTTGTATGGTTATGATTTAGTAGCCGGAGATAAAATTATCTCAAACAGCTTGAGAAACGATAAGCCCTATATATATATATGGAAAATATTTTCTCATGTTACATGAGAATTCAATTATCATGTTATGACCCTTAAATTTGCGTGCAAAGCTTTTTTTTTTAAATGTGGGGCCCATCACTAATTGAGTCACAACATGAGAATTTAATTCTCATGCAACATAAGAAAATCAAACTCTATATATATATATATATACTAGGAAAATCTACTTCTTATGTTGCTGCAAAAAAAAAAAAAATCTTTTACATTTTAGGAAGTACATAGTTATAATATTAAAATTGTTTTTTTTTTCTCTTCAAAAGTTATCGCTTGATATGGAGAGAAAAAAATATTTCGTTTTCCATCGAAAATTTTCGACGAAATATGAATTCCGTCGAAAAGTCCACATATATAATTTCTTTTACATTTATTTTTTTCATAGGTTTTCGATGAAATTCATTTTTCATCGAAAATTTTCGACGGAATATGAATTCCGTCGAAAATTTCACAAATATAATTTTTTTTAGCTTTTATTTTTTCAAAAGTTTTCGAAGGAGGAAATTTCCACGAAATTTATTTTCCGTCGAAATTGTCATTGGTAATTTCGATGTAATATTTTTCGTCGAAAATTTAGACTTTTCTAGGAGTGTATGACTTTGATGTTTTTACAGTGAATATAGATAAGTTATCTATATTCACTCTTAAAACGACGTCATTTTGGGTTGAAAAATTAAAAAATTATAATGAAGAAGACTATTATTATAACCCTGAAATAAATTTATGTCCCAAAATAATATCTTTTTGAGCTCAATGTAGATATCTAACTTATCTACATTAACTGTAGAAAATACGAATCATATAACTATATATTCCTCAAAATACATAGTTATAATCACGGTTGAGGAAGATTTTTTTTGCAACACCATAAGAAAAATGGATCGAAAATACAAATGTGTTGGACCAATTTTATTCTTCTTAAAAAAAAGCGTAAATATCTTTTTTGGTCCTCAGATAATTTCACGAGACCCGTTTTATTCCCTAGTAAATAAAAAGGCCCATCGTGGTCCCTAAAAAATTTAAATTGGACCCATTTTAGTTCCTTTGAGAACTAATATCGGTCTTTTTTGAATTTGTGAGGGACCACAATTTCAACTAAATGAGTCCTTTTGAATTTTTGAGTGACCACGATGAGCCTTTTTATTTTCCAGGGACTAAAACGGGCCTCGTGAAATTCCAAAAATGATATTTACTCAAAAAAAAATAATCATAAAGGGGCGGAGAAGAAACACGAAGTCACAAACTACAGTTGCCCATTATCAACAACAAAATTTGTATAAATAAATAAATTTAACAAAAGAATGAATGAATAATTAAATTGGGGGCTGACAAATGCTTCACAACATCTACCTTCTCAACAAATTCGATCGATTTAGGTGTAAAGTTCAATTAAAAAAGAAGGTGTAAAAGTATGATGATTCTAATGTTAGATTAGAAGTGTTGGGTGAAAACTCAGGGGGATTCTAAAATAGGTTCAAGAACAGGGTTCCAGCGTCCTCGAGACCCCAATTGATGACAGGGTATTCCGACAAGGTTCCCTCTCCCTGGGAAACTGGAAACCTCAATTTCCCCGTCCCTTCCACTCAACGTGGAAACCGGTGAAACCTTGGCCATATTTCCACTTTTCTTCTTCCTTGGGCCACTCTTGTTACTCTTCTTCTCACTGCACCACTGCTCCGCAATCGCCATCTCAGACTCCGAAGCCTTGGAGTGGACCCTACTTACCGGCGCCAGCAGGTAAACCTTCCCACCCAGAAGCTCCTGATCTGCCGGTAAGGCCGAAATCCGTCGTGTTCGGCGGAGTTCCTCCACCGGGATGATGACGTGGCCGAGTTCTTCGATCATGAGCTCCGCTGATCTCACAGGTACCTTGATCTCACGAATTTTCCCACTTGTGTCCAAGAGCATCGCTGTTTTAGTACTACGCCTACAACAACCGCTCTTCAGAATCTCAATACTAACAGTTAAACAAGAATAAGAAGCAGCGTTCCCCATGAGTAATTAAATTAAAGATATCTGTGCTTCAATAAAAGAGAGAATGAGGGTACTAGTTCTTCTTTTAGACTGTGTGCTCAACGATGAGAGTGAGTGTGAAGAATAAGAAGGGATGTGTGAGGGTTTATATCCTACACAGAGGTAAGGAAAAAGTCAAGGGTGTATTGTGAAGGACGCGATTATGGAATGTCGTGCGAATTGGGATATTCGCTCCTTTGGCATTTGCAAACTAGTGTTAAAAACGCGGACATTGTTTTTAACTCTCTTTTTTCTGCATCTTTGTTCAATTATGTCATATAACATTGGAGTAAATTAATTCATTTTTAAAGTTTGCACTTGTTATCTTTAATGTTAATTTTGTTTGAAAAATTATTCATGATGCTTTTCTTTTTATATAATAATATTTACATTTTTTTATTTATTTTGGGGAATATTATTTTGAATTATTGAATCATCAAATTTTTAGGTTTTGAACATTAGATCTTAACTCATAAATTTAACTACTCATAATGCTTGATTTTTTTTTATATCTTAATTAGATGTTAATTAATAAGACAATTAACTTTTGATTTAAAATTAAATATTTTTCAAAATAATATTAAATTAAGAAAGGTGACAGAAAAGAGAGTCAATGACACTAATATTGCTTATTAAATTCCTGAATTTGTCTTCACGGTTTAGGTGAGTAAGTAGGAATAAACGATCTTGGCTGCTATTCACAAAGGCCAAAAGTCAAATTCCAAAGAATACCGAATTGTGGTGGTACTTTGCTAGCGATCAAAATTCATAATGATGCCAAAATTCGACTTGGTCTTGGTATCTATGAAGTTCAGCATTTTTCTTTTCGGTCAGAGAGCTTTACAGAACAGTAGTAATGTTGTAGCATTAGAGTAGCCTCTGCCCCTAAACAAAGAAATTAGAAGAAACTTCAGAAAAGAATCAATTTTATGTGTTAATCCAAGTATTGAGAAATCACTAAATGTGATTATACTATTTAAAGTTATTAAAATGGACTAAATACTTTTGGGCTTGTAAATTCTCCTTCTCTTGTTGAAAGTATCATTTCATCTTATATCTCCGTTTCATGGTGTTATTATTGTTGTTGTGTTGGTCTTTCTTGTTGCTATTTTTCATGACTCAACAACCCCCTCAAACACTGTAACGATAATTGAAATGAATTTGGAAAACCTTAACTGCCTATAAAATCCAAGTTTTCATTTGATTATGATATTGTTCCAAAATACTAAGAGGTGAAATTCTCAATCATGGAAGGCTGACTTTTGCTTAAGTTGAATATAGCTTATGAAAACATGAAACAATATATATTCAGATAATGTAGTCTTTTAACTACCTCTTCTAGTGTGAGGCCTTTTGTGGGGTGTCCCAAGAAACAAAACCGTGAGCTCTCGATCTGAGGGCTTTGCTTCCGCACATATTATCTTCTTTTTTAACAAAACCCTAATTTCTTTGCCTCTTGCTGCCATCAGCCGCAACCGAAAAATTTTTCCGGGGACCTTTTGGACCAAGGGGACCATTGTTGACCTTATTTTTCCTCCGATCTATCATTCTATGCATTGTTCCTCCGCCACAAACGACCGAAACACCTCCGACCGCCTCCAATCAGATCTGTCTTCACCGTTTGGACCACTTTCCGGCGACTTTTCAACCGCGACCACCCACAGACAGGTGCGCGCTCACCGGACGACCACACCAGAAAAATCTCAGCCGGCGAAGCCCATCCACGCGCTCTCACGCGCCGCCCCTTTCTCGGCGAGTGAATCCCACGCGCAGCTCCTTTCTCCGGCGCGTGGAGGCGCGTGCGGCCGTGTTTTTGGACCGGACCACCACCATTCTTCTCGTCTTCTTGTCTTCTGTCTGGATCTGTAATTATTTTTCTGATCAAAGGTCATTTGATATTCTGTTTGGTTGATTTTATCGCTGGTTGTTAACTTTTTTTGTTAAAGAATGGCCGAGCATGATAGTTCTTCGATCTTATCTGGTAAGAGCACACGTTCTATATCTCTTCTTGCTTCTTGCACTGATTTTAAAACCTCATGGATTTTGGATTCTGGTGCAACTGATCATATGGCTTGTCGTACTGAGTTGTTTTGTTCTTATCATCCTACTGTTGGTAGTCATACTATATCCGAAGCTGATGGATCCCATAAATCAGTTATTGGTTCTGGTAACATTCAAATTCAACCTTCCTTGTTTCTTAAAAATGTTCTTTATGTTCCTCAGCTTTCTACTAATCTTATCTCCACTCAAAAACTTACAACTGATTTGAATTGTTCTATCACATTTTTTCCTTCTCATTGTCTTATTCAGGATCTTACTACGAAGAAGACAATTGGAGTTGCTAATGAACAGGATGGGTTGTATCGTCTCCTTCCAGACCATGCTAGCAAAAATCAGTTATTAATGACACGTCATCCTTCTACTGCAGAGTCTATGATTTGGCTCTATCACAAGCGTCTCGGGCATCCACCATTTAGTCTTTTGAAGTCTATGTTCCCTTATCTGTTTCTCAATAATTCGGTTGAGACCTTTCATTGTGATGTTTGTGAATTTGCAAAACACCATCGAGTGTCATTTCCTTCTAGCACTATTAAAAGCAGGGAACCTTTTTCTCTTATCCATTCTGATGTTTGGGGCCCTTCTAAAGTGCACAGTGTTTCAGGTGCAAGGTGGTTTGTTTCTTTTATTGACGATTGTACTCGGATAACATGGATATACGTGATGAAAGACAAGTCTGAAGTACCAGAGATATTTATTCGGTTTCATCACATGGTTGAGACTCAGTTTGGTAAGGGTATTAAAAGACTCAGATCTGATAATGGTACTGAGTACGTCAATCAACGCCTGTCACAATTCATTTCAGAAAGAGGTATGATTCATGAGCTCACATGTGTTGATACCCCTCAACAAAACGGGGTTGCTGAAAGGAAAAATCGTCACCTTCTTGAAGTTGCTAGAGCACTACTTTTTCAGACATCTGTTCCTAGTTCTTATTGGGGAGAAGCAGTATTAGCTGCAACTTTTTTGATCAACCGTTTACCTTCACGGGTCCTTAACAATATCAGTCCTATTCATTCCATGACTTCCTTCTTTCCTTCTGTTCCCATATTGCAGAGCCTTCCACCAAGAGTTTTTGGATGTGTTGCCTTTGTCCATGTTCATAAACAACATCGGAGTAAGTTGGATCCTAGGGCTCTTAAGTGTGTCTTCCTTGGTTATAACCCTTATAAAAAAGGGTACAAGTGTTATCATCCACCAAGTCGGAAATTTTTTGTTTCTATGGATGTCACCTTTCAAGAATCTGAATCTTATTTCCTGGGTGCTCATCGTCAGGGGGAGAATAGTTCTTCAGAAGACTCGTCCCCTTCCTTCTTTGAGTCTGGATCAATCTTCTCTCTTCCTAGTGTGTCTGCCCATACTGTCTCACCAGCAACCTCAATCGTCTGAACCACTGGTAAGTCCTGAATCTCCTATTTCTTCTGAGTCTCCTGAATCTCCTGTTTCTGATTCTAATATTATTTCCTCTCATGATTTGTCTATTTCTTCTGATATCTCTAATGACTTACCCATTGCTTCTACTTCTGATGACTTACCTATTGCTCTTAGAAAAGGAAAAAGATCTTGTCACAAGAAAACTTGTTCCTCCTGTCCCTCTTGTACTCAATACCATATCTCCCACTTTGTTTCCTCTGCTAATCTTTCTATGCAGCACAAAAGCTTTGTTTCAGCACTAGATTCTATTGCAATCCCAAAATCAGTACATGAAGCCTTGAAAGATAGGAATTGGGCTCAAGCCATGCAAGAGGAGATGAATGCTTTGGAGAAAAATAAAACATGGGAGGTTATTGATAGACCCAACGGAAAGAAAGCAGTAGGGTGCAGATGGGTTTATGCCCTGAAATATAATTCTGATGGCACTCTTGAGAGATATAAGGCTCGATTAGTGACCAAAGGTTACACTCAAACCTATGGCATTGATTATGAAGAAACCTTTGCTCCAGTTGCAAAGATGAATACAGTGAGAATCTTGTTATCCCTTGCTGCCCATTACAATTGGGATATAAATCAATTTGATGTGAAAAATGCTTTCCTCAATGGTGAGTTAGAAGAAGAAGTCTACATGGAAATTCCGCCTGGTTTTGATTCTGTGAAGGGGGAAAATAAAGTTTGTAGATTAAAAAAGGCCTTGTATGGATTGAAGCAGTCACCTCGTACTTGGTTTGGAAGATTTACTAAGGTTATGATGACCTTAGGATACAGACAGAGCCAAGGAGATCACACTCTTTTCTTCAAGCACTCCCAAAATGGGAAGCTTACTGTGCTCCTTGTATATGTTGATGATATTATTATCACAGATGATGATTTTATGGAGAGACAGATTCTGCAAACACGGCTTGCCTCTGAGTTTGAAATCAAAGACCTTGGGAAACTGAGATATTTCCTAGGGATAGAAGTAGCTCATTCAAGCAAAGGAATTTTTATCAGCCAGAGGAAATATGTTCTTGATCTTCTCAAAGAAGCAGGAAAGCTCGGGTGTAAACCCTCTAATACTCCTATTGAGCAGAATCACAAGATGGGCTATGAAGAAGAGAGTCCTCCAGTTGATAAAGGACAATATCAACGGCTAGTTGGGAAATTGATATATCTGGCCCATACTAGACCAGACCTAGCTTATGCTGTTAGTGTTGTCAGTCAGTTTATGCACGATCCAAAAGAAAAACACATGCATGCACTAGAGAGAATTCTTCAGTATCTTAAAGGTACTCCTGGTAAAGGATTGTTATTCCGACGTGATGGCAATCTATCTTTAGAAGTCTACACAGATGCTGATTATGCTGGATCCGTGACTGACCGTCGTTCTACCACTGGTTATTGCATGTTTCTTTGCGGTAACTTGGTGGCATGGAGAAGTAAGAAACAAGATGTGGTTGCCAGATCAAGTGCAGAAACTGAATTTCGAGCTATGGCTCAAGGCATTTGTGAGTTACTGTGGCTGAAAATTGTACTTGATGATCTCAAAATAAAATGTGAGGGACCTATGAAGCTGCTATGTGATAATAAGTCCGCTATTTGTATAGCTCATAATCCAGTCCAACATGATCGGACTAAACATATTGAGGTTGACCGCCATTTCATCAAAGAGAAACTTGATAGCGGGTTGATTACCACTACATACATTCCCACTGGGCGTCAATTAGCTGATCTATTAACAAAGGGGCTTCCTTCAGACAGATTTCAAGAACTTACTAGCAAGCTGGGAATGATAAATATCTATTCCTCAGCTTGAGGGGGAGTGTTGTAAATAATAATTATTTAGTTATTATTTAGTCATTTATTTGTTGTATTGGGCCAAGCCCATTAGGTTAAAATTAGGTCAAATATTCTCTATAAATAGAGAACCCTTTGTACAGATTATTTACAATTCTATAATATATTAGAATACCCTTTTTCAAGTGTTATTAAAATGGACTAAATATTTTTGGGCTTGTAAATTCTCCTTCTCTTGTTGAAAGTATCATTTCATCTTATATCTCCGTTTCATGGTGTTATTATTGTTGTTGTGTTGGTCTTTCTTGTTGCTATTTTTCATGACTCAACAACCCCCTCAAACACTGTAACGATAATTGAAATGAATTTGGAAAACCTTAACTGCCTATAAAATCCAAGTTTTCATTTGATTATGATATTGTTCCAAAATACTAAGAGGTGAAATTCTCTATCATGGAAGGCTGACTTTTGCTTAAGTTGAATATAGCTTATGAAAACATGAAACAATATATATTCAGATAATGTAGTCTTTTAACTAACTCTGGCTATATAGATTCCTGAATTCCTGTCTCTTGCATTCAGTCGTTCGATCTCCAATGCCCTTAATGGGTGAAGTTCAACCTTATGTTAGAAAACTACGTTTGTGAATCTTCTTTTCTTTTGCTATATGGAATCTCTGGCTGAATAGGAATCAAAATTTTCAGAAGTGTTTTATGGTCAGTTAAAACAAATACTTCCACAAAATCCTGAATTATGGGTAAATGTGGGCAAAAGTCTTTTCAAGATCAATACTAATCAAGCAAATATAGTTTGTATCTGTTGATTTCTTTAAAAAAGTAAGTCGCTAAGTGCTTTCCCATTATCAACGGCCCCCTCTCTTCTACCCCTCCTTTTTTCTTCAATCAGGAATATCTAATCTTTGCAATGTTCGGAAGGACATTTGGTACTTGTCATATCAGTTAATTGATCACTTACTAGCATTAAGCAGGGGATGCAGCTTACTAGCTTAGTACCGTTTACCTTCCTCTTCAATCAGAAGTTGGGTGAACCTTATTTATTGTTGCATTTTGAAAATATCTATATACACACTATCCATGTTCGTTTTTAATGTAAGTGGACAGGAAATGATTGTCGGGGCATTTCATCTGGATTCATCTATTTGCTGGAAGCACTTGGTTCAAGCCAACATTTGGGACACTTGACCTCTCTTTGGAGACTCCGAACATTTGAAAGCAATTTGTAGTAAGAGAGGATATCAGAAATGTTTTAGATATTGTGGGCTTTTACGTTATTAAGATAAGATTTGAGAAGCGAAGAGATAGCAAGCCTGGGGAAAGGGGGAAATTATACACTAGCTTTTGCAATGTCCTTCCAATATTGTTCTTTTCTTCGTGCTTCTGTAATTACGGTAACAATGAATTTGTAATATTTAGGCCTTAAGAATGCTTCTGGAAAAAGTATTTCTTTTTAGTTGGCCTTGCTTTGCAATTCTGATTTCTAAATCAGTTTGACCAGTATTATCTAGGATAATTCACTATATCACCTAAAAAATTCTTTAATTTACTTCAAGCTCGTTGGTGACTAAGTGACTTGGCCCATGGGCCATGACTGTATTCCTCCTGCTTATGAGCAGTTAAGATTAGTTCAGTTCCTAATTCCTATTCAATTTTTGTTTTGTTTTTATTTGATTTTTTGGAGAAACGAGATCCTCTCACCTAATGAAATTTGGATAAGGCACCTTAGAAAGTATATAACAGGGGACTATTTTTCTCCCTTATCAAAGCATTAAGCATTTGCTTTTGTATTAATACAGAAGGCAAGTTACACAAATTGTAGGCAACAACATGGTGCATGTATGCTAGTTGAAGGTATGCCCTCGAACCTTACTTAACGAGAATCCAGCCACTAAGAAAGAAAATAATGAGAAAAGGAAACCAATTTCTCTTATGGGTGCCTCACGATTACAACAGGACACTTTGCATGCTTGACACAGTGATCACTGACACTTCCAAGGATCGCCCTGCAAGTTGGCACCAAGAAAGCTATTTTGTTATATCATTACATCCTTCATTTCATATCTAACAAGTGCCTTAAAATTAAAGCACCGCAAAGAAAAAAATAAATAATAATAACTGAAAGAATCTGTTAACGTTACCTTTTAAAGAATCCATAGCCATGGCTTCCCAGGACCAAGGTGTCAGCCTCTAGTTTCTGCACAGCGCTGCATATTACATTCTTGGCATCTCCTATCCCAACTACTCTCTCCATTTTGATCTGCAAAATCCCAAATTCATAGTGAGTCACGGGGATAGACACTTACAAATTACAATTGCAAAGAATAAAAAATAGAAATTGGAAAAAAAAAAAAAAAACAGTAAAAAGAAACACTTATTAGGTGGCCTACATCCGTGGCGTTCAAGTTTCTGCAAATAGCTTCAGCTCTTTCCATTACTGAATTAGCTAACTGCATACTGTGCTTTTCCATAGCATCAATAACATCAGTGGAAAAGATGTACCCTGCAAAATATCATATTGCAATTACCAAGTTAGTTAAAAAGCCAGGAAGAGATAGTAAAAAAGATTAGCCTCAACTCAAATAATAAGAACAAGTGCTTTGTAAATTGTAATAAGGAGTAGGAAGAAAGTGAAAACCTCCAGCGTCGAAGGAGTAAACAGCAGGAGGTGGCTTGACATAGAGCAGTACAAGCTTCTTGTTGTTGGTATCAGCAATAAGATTGTTGATGCACCAGGACAGTGCATACATGCTCTCCTTGCTTTCATCCACACCCACCATAATCTTAAACTCTTTCTTTTCCATTATGTAGCCAAATAAAGAGCCTATTAGTGCAGTATTGCCTGCAAACTTCTATTCCTGGCTTGAGAAAGTTGTTGGACCCTGAATTGTAGATAATGGAAGCAAGAGGGATTGGATTATGTAGAAGCTTCTTGATGCGTTTCCTACGATAGTGCCTTATGTTTTAAACCCGTGGATTCTTTGTCCTCGTTTTGAAATTACAGCTGTCTCATGTCAGCATGATAACGGTTAATTAATTACTTGAAATGTTGGAAAGTCTGTAATTTATTAATTTGGATTAAATTTATATTTACAAACTTTGTTTTTACACACTCTTACAAACTAATTTCAGTGAGTACACTCACTTGAGAAATGTAATCCGCGGAGTATGTAGTGTAGTTTGTAAAAATTTGTAAACATAACACTTCTCTGTTAACACTTCTCTATTAATTTATTCAAGGTCAATTACTCAAAAAATCCATGCACATAGTTTTCTCAATTTATTGGAATATATTATTCTTTTTAGTATATTAGGAGTAAATGTAACGTCTGACAACTTACAATGATTAACGACTGTCCCCACATATTAACACGAGACTTTTCAGTGTGCTTTTTCCTCACTTGCACACTTCCCGGGAAAACTTCCCAGGAGGTCACTCATCCCAGAATTGCTCCAAGTCAAGTACTCTTAACTGTGGAGTTCTTCCGATCTGGGCTACCGAAAAACAGATGCATCTTGTTAGTATAGGTAGTACCAATTAATTCTTATAAGTCATTCCCAACTGTACCGTCCCATACCAGCACAGTCTCTGGAATCCCTCTCTTTCGGGTGTTGATTCGATTCATTCATGTACCCCGTCCCTAGAAGCCTGCCAGGAGCCGCTCCTTGTCCATGCCCTTTCGCACCGGCGATCACTCCCCCCCTCGTCAGCGCCCGGGATGTTACAGTAAATATCTCTCTCTATATGGATAGATGGGTTTAGTGTGTATTCTTTTAAAGAATGCAAGTTGTGTCCTTTTAATTTTTTACTCAATGTACTCGCACTAGTACATAGTTATAATATGAAAAGAAAAAAAAATCACTTCTACGTCAGCTGATGCGACTGAGGAGAGAAAATAAAATAACTTTTCACATTATAATTATGTACTACCGAGAGTACATAGAGTAAAAAAAATAAAAAAATACAACTTACATCTTTTTAAATCACAAATATTTTCCAAGATAGATAGATATATAGATAAGAAGTATGAATGCAATATTTTTCCACAATGTCCCGCCCCTAAAAATATCTATCTATTCAATGCATTCACAAATGAAAAAGAAACAATTTGATATGAAAAAGAAAACAAAAAAGTCGACTAGTAAAGGGAGATTGAGTTCGACAGCTTGATGATTTTGTCTTGGCTTGGGAATACAAATATCTGAAGAAACTTAGCTAAGTTAGAGCAAAATCAAAGGACCAATGGATCCTCACAAACCAAGTAAGAAAAGCTCTGTTTTTGTATCATTCTTTTTATCGTCTTTGATAATCTCGGGCATTATCGTAAATAGAAAAAATCTTTTAAATAATTAAATTTTTAAGATTTCAGCTTTGATTTTTTTTTTTTATAAGAGTGCCATTTGCTTATCTTAAAGAAATATAATATAAAATAATGGCTTTAATGTTTCTAAAGTGAATGTAGATAAGTTATCTACATTCGCTCCCAAAATGACGTCGTTTTGAATTGAAAAGTTTAAAAATTATAATGAAAAACACTATTATAACCCTGAAATAAATTATAATTACAAAAAAACATTGATTTCCACCTCAAAACGACGTCGTTTTATGCTCAATGTAGATAAGTTATTTACATTGACCGTAAAAAAACGAACTCAAAATTAATATGGTCTTTATCTAATAATTTAAATTTTTGAGTTAAATTGATTTATTTATATGATATGAAGCATTAATGACTAAATAATCACGAATTTGATCTTCATCTTTCTCATTTTATTAATAAATAATTAATTAAAATGAAGTTTCTTAGTATATGTAAATGGAATTGGCTTTTTGACCCTTATAACCCTTTATTATTAATTAATTACCGATTTGACCTTGATTATAAACTATTTCAAAAATTTAACCCCCTCAGAAAACATAACACCAATCTGCCCCTGTTTGACCGTTGACCACCAAGCCTACCCGGGTACACCCCTCCCTACCCGGGTATTTTTAGAAATTTTGTTCCTACCCGGGTAAAGAGGAGTGTACCCGGGTATAGTTCTAGGCATCTGAAAAATTTCTTGAATTATTTACCCGGGTTGGGACGAGTGTACCCGGGTAGATCAATTAAGACCCTGCAACTTCTCCAAATTCTGAAGCTCTTCCATCAATGTTTCCTCTGTTTCCTTCCCATATGAACGAACAAAAGCATTGAAAACCCATGCTTTTTCAGGGTTTACATGGCCATCACTGAAGTGTGATAAATCAAAAGGAAACCTTCCCATCTTTTGAACAGTTGGTAGGTCAAAACAAAAAATGCCATGAACAAGCATTAACCCTTTAAGAGCAACAACCCAACTATGAGTCTTTTCCATTCTCATAGAGAGTATATAATGGTGATGTACGTAGCCATTGGAAAACTCTTTGAACGTTCTTATAATCCATGATGAATTGGCCTTTATGATGACGGTTTCAAGATCAGGGTTCCGACAAGGGCCACACGGTGACATCTTTGCAACCCAAATGCTGTACTTGTCTTTCAGAGCTCCGGTGGCCCTTTTCCATAGCCTCAATTTCTTTGAGAAAATTGATGTTCTTTGCACTGACAAGACCGGAACTTCGAGAAATGAGGTGGGGTTTTCCCTATTTCACCTCCTTTGGAATCTGCGAAAATTGTTGATAGTTTGGAATTATGTCGAAGATTTACCCGGGTACACCCCTCTCTACCCGGGTAAATAATTCAAGCAATTTTTCAGGTACGAAGAACAATACCCGGGTATACGCCTCCCTACCCGGGTAGACAAAAATTTTCAAAAAATACCCGGGTACAGAGGGGTGTACCCGGGTAGGCTTGGTGGTCAACGGTCAAACAGGGGCAGATTGGTGTTATGTTTTCTGAGGGGGTTAAATTTTTGAAATAGTTTATAATCAAGGTCAAATCGGTAATTAATTAATAATAAAGGGTTATAAGGGTCAAAAAGCCAAATGGAATTTGTGTATTGTCCACCTGTAAAATTCAATAAACTTTGAAAGAATGCGTTAGAAAAATATAATATAAAATTATTAATATGACCTTAGTTTAAGTCTAATATTTCCTTCACCATTAATGAGTCCAATATTTAATCCTAATATACTAAAAAAAATTAAAAAAGTTGAAGTAAATATTATTCAAACAGAAATTATGCCAAGTTTTGTTTCACTTAGCTTATCAAACTTCATGCTTGATAAAGAAAATTATAAAAAGAAAAAAATAATAATGATAAAGGTAAAAATTATGCTAGTTTGTGAATTTATAACGAAGGGAAAAAATATTTATCCTTTTAAAAAGAATGAATTTTTAAAAGAGAAAAAAATATAAATTATGAAAGGAGAAAAAGGTATTTATTTTTTTTTTCTCTTAAAAAGATGCATACACACTTTTCCCATAATTAAATTATAAAAAAGCTATGTCTTCGTATGTGACTCAAAACGCAACTTCACTGTCTGTCGTTGTCTAGCGTCTGGATTTAAGTTTAACATGTAGTGCAGTTTTTGTCAAGTTGAGTGGGAAGCCCGTGTGTGTCTATTTCAGTGGGTTCCCCAGCTTCTTATCCATAAAATGAATGGGCAGAATCTAAACCCACTATTACCCCATATTAGTTTGCTTGCGAAGTTACCTTTCTTTAAATCAAAGAAGCAAAGAAGATAATGTCTAAAAAATAAAATAATAAAAAAATAAAAGGCAAAGAAGAAAAACTGATAAAGGGAGAAAAAGAATAAAAATGCAATATGTCCAAAAAAATAAAAAATAAAAATGCAATTGAAATAATGACCAATATATAGCATTAGCATCTACTAGTGTTAACCTGAAAATAAAAAGATGTATACCTTGGTAGTGTGGTGTAGAATTTTAGTTGATAGTTGCATTGCTACCAATATGTAGGTGTACACCTAAACATGGAACCGCTACCTCTCAAACGCCAGAATTGCCCACCTAAGACTGGAAGAGAAAGAACAACCCCCAGACAACCTAAGCATTTTCAGTTACTTTGGAGCTAAAGCGAATTAATTTTTTTTTTTAATTTTTAACTAATAATTTTTGTCTTTTAAAATGTGGTTTAATTAATTATTATCTTGAGCAAAAAGCCTTTTGGAGGAATGAGGGGGTGAGACTTGGAAATTTATCTATTGTTGAGAAGAAATAGATTTGAGATTCAACATCAGTAGGAAAGAGTTTAGGGAAATATATTTGAGATTCAACTCATTTGAACTCCGTATCAGTTTCTTCACTCTTGGAAGGAAGAGGAACAACGGGTGAAGAGGAAGCTGCGTGAAGCTAAGGCAATAAAAATGGCTTAATGGACTTCTAATGGACTCTAAACCAACTGAATGAGACCTAGCCCACATGGGGCAGCTTCAATTTCAGGGTGATTGGGAGAGAAAGCACCCTACACCGGCCCAGACATCAATTAGCAATCAAACTCTGATATTATAGCCCATATGCTCCTTTCGAAATGGGAATTATATCTGTTACTATAAAGAGCTTCATTGTTTATGTTTATGGCCCACCTTACCTGAAAAGCTCTATTTTTCGAAAAAATCTAAAATGTTACCCATAGTACTTGTCGGAAATCGATAACACACAAATCGAAAATGAAAACGAAAAAGAAAGAGAATAGACACAGCGATTTACCCTTGTTTAACCAATTTAGGCTACGTCCAGCTTGTCTGTACTATATTTACCTCGCCGCCACTCGTTACAAGTCATTCGGTTTACAAGGAAAATATAAATAAGATTAGAAAACCCTAACAAAAGCTATTTATGGGCTCAAACCCAAACTGCTAAGAAAATTACAATAAAACAGAGGCTCATATTAGTACCTAGCCTCTACGGGATCCCAGTTGCCTTTTTGCTGACCCCGACAACTAGGGTCATCATCAGCGTGCGAAGTACGAGCCATTCCCAACACCAACGACGCACCAATAGGAATAGGACAATTAGATTGAAAAATTTGAGAACAAAAAAACTTTAATATTAAATTTACGTAATCTTCTAAAATATATAGTTATAATATCACTGTTACACCCAACGCTAGGTGCCATGATGGTATTGAAAATGTGCTTGTTTTCTTATAATTTTAGAGTAAATATTTTTTTGATTCCTCAATAAAAAATACGAAATTTATTTTAATTCCTTAAAAAAAAGTATCGATATTAGTTCTTTTTGAGAGATTAACACGAGTCTTTCTTAAATTTTCAGAGAAATTACAATTTCAAAGAATTAAAATTTTAGAGAAATCACAAATCAACTTTTTTTTCTTTCTAAGAAATTAAAATAGATTTCGTGTTTTTTTTTTGTTAAAGATGCAAAAAAATAAAATAAAAAAAATAGAGGTATTTACTCTAGATTTTATGATCTCAACCTGAATGACATATGCATGAACTTTGAAGGTAAGACATCAATTTTCAATAAGGATACTTTCTAGTTTCACCCCTAATCAAAACGGTTAAATTTACAAACATTGGATGAATGCTTTGCTCCGTTTTTTTTACCATTTTTAGGCCATATAAGCCTTAGCTTAAACCAAACTCAACGTGGATAGCATTTCGTTGATCTAACCGAACAACTTCGTTATCAACCACCACTAAATGAAATGGTTAAAAAAAAAAAACGGCCATCAAATGCTATCTTTATAAATTACCATAAGTATAAAGCAATAATTAAAATGATGACAATAATTTCCTTAACCTTATTTATTTTTGTTAATGATTTCAAGTTCTCTAACGCAGACGTGGGTAGCACGTAGCATTTGCATCAGCGTTTAATTTGCTACTTAGCCAGCAGCTAACAGGGGGGTGAGGTCCACTTTAGTCATGTAAGGTTATTTCCCAACAAATACAAATTAGTACCCTCCACTAGCTAACTTGCTTACAGAAGAGCTCAAGAGATTTCAAATTTCTGAATCGGGAAGCTTCCATATGGCAAGGATCGCTCATAAATCCATTCAAACAATGGGAGACGGTAAGACCGAGAAAGCATAAGTGCGTGCGTCAGCTTTCTCACATAACACGAAACAAATTTTAAATCAATTTTATTAGGTAAGCAAATCCTTAGTTTTATAATAGTATAAATATATGTGAAGAGAAAAAAGTGTAAATTTTTTATGATGGTACACAGTACGTACATTCATATGCTTTTTAATTATTTTAAGGTCTCAATACAGTTATTTCTTAAAGAATCAAAATTAAAAATAGATAGTTCTATATAACAATTATTTTTCTTATCAAATAAGTTCACGGATAAGTATTGATAAATTTGTTAGATAAAAATAAATAAATTTGTTTATTCGTTTATTATTATTTATAACGTTAAAAAAGGGTTGAAACTAGAGGGCGTGGCATGGAAAGGAGGACCCGCCGAATCATGCATTTCGGGGAACGCGTTTCTATTAATTTAATGAAATAGCGGGGCCCATGATTTCAAATTTCGGTTTGTCTTGAATGTTTTGTTACCGTTGGTGAAGGATCGTAGGTCCCAGATTCAAACCTGGAAAGGGAAATTGCGAACTGTACGCGGAGGACAGAAAACAAGGTATACCGCATGTTTGCCCCAAAAAACTTCAGGGAATATGTTTATTGGGATATATTTTTTTTTGGGAAAAGTTCACCAATTCTCTGTGGTTTGCTTCAGAATCATTTATATTTCTGTGATTTTTTTCCTATCACATATGTCCCTGTGCTTTGTAAAAAATAAGAAACCACATGGGTATATGTGATAAAAACATACTCTTTTACAAACCACAAGGACATATGTGATAAGAAAAAAATCACAGGGGCATAAGTGATTCTGAAGTAAACCACAGGGGCATTAGTGAATTTTTTCCTATTTTTTTTATGTTGTAAGAAAAAAATTATCTTATGTTGAAGAAATAAAAGTATAAGTGGAACCCACAGGTAAGAGGAAAGAGAAAAAAGAGTGGTGGGACCCAACCTCTTTTTGTGTGTGTAAGAGAGTTGTTTATCTCATATAAAATGAGATAAACATAACTCGTGTTTATTTTGTGTGAAATAAAATTATTTTATATACACACATAAAATTTATGTTGCACCGACATCGACCCGGGACATGAGATATGACACGATAAGATACTTTGACATGTTAATTTTTAAAAATGTTAAATTTTGACACAGTATGACACGTTTTGATATTATATAATATTTTTAATTTAGGTAGTGTATATTATGTTTAGTATTCAATAATTAAAAAAAAATAAAGTTAAATTTATAATACTCATCAATTTTGCAAAGAAACATAAGATATCCTAAATATTTATATTAAACTCAATAAAATTGTAATCTAACGAATCTAATAGTTGGAACTCAAAATGCAATGCAACGTAACCTTTGAACTTTTTTTGAATCTTTGCAACAAGTATTGGAGTGTCAGAGTGTCGGACACGACACGTCAGAATTTTTGAAGATATATTGCATGTTTGTCCAAAATATTTTTTTAAAAAATATGTCTTTCATATTATATGAGACAAAATTATCTCAGGTATATTTCATTTTTTGTGTGCGCATAAGATAATTATCTTAATGTAGTATAAGGCATATATTTCCCTCATAAACTTTTTACCACTTACCAAAAATAAAATAAAAAACTTTTTACCCTCCCAAAAATGCAATCCTGAATTCCTAATCTCCTAGATTGATCATCAGCACAAGAAGTTATTATATAAATGTTATTGTTAATTTTTTTTTTAATGGCATGTTATATTCTTTTACTATGATTATTTTATTAATACTCAAACAAACGAGATTCATTATTCTTTTTTTTATATAAATTTTATTTGTTTTACAGCTATTTTATATATATATATATATAAATGCAACAATTTTGTATTGTTAAAAGATTTTACATTATCTTTTACTCCTTTTTTTTTTGGTACAAATATCTTTTACTCCTTTTGTTACTGAAAATGATATACAATACTTATTCCTTTTTTAGGAGTTAAGTATTGGAAATTTTATACAACCAAAAAAAAAAATTGCTGGGAACTTATATCAATATATTATATATTTTGTTGATAACTACGTTATTTTTTATTTTTTTTGGTCATGATAACTGAGTTAATTTAACCCATGTGAGATGTGGATTATTTTAAATTTCACATATTATTTTAAATTTAAATTTAATAAATAAATATTTAGTATATATACAAGTCTGAATTAGCTTATCTAGAAAAATTTAATTGTAATTTTTTTAAATGTATAATCAATTAATATAAAATATTTATATATTAATATTTAATACAAAATTCTTAAACAAAATTTAATAACTATGTGATTCTTTTTATGTAATATTTGTATTCACTTCTTATTTATGTGTATATGCATGATTTTTTTTAAGAGAAGATAAATTCATGATTAATATTTATATGTAAGTTGTCTAAGTAATGTGAAAAAGAAAGAAACAGAACGTTTTAGTTTCTATTGTTATTCTGATAATCTTTTATGACATTAATAACTTATATTATATTATATTATTTTAAAAATTTACCAATAATTTTAATAAAATATTAATTATATTTTGATAACTATTCTTTTAAGTTATAAAATATTATCTTTTATAATTATAGATATATTGATGTCATATATAAATCGGTTTAGATTAAAATCTTAAAACTTAAAAGATTAATTAAAATTAGATTATTATGTATTTTGTTTATGTAATATATAAGATAGTTAATACTTAATGATATATAATCTTATTAATTATTTTCAAACTAATATTTTCTTAAATAATAGTTAATAATCAACAATGTATTAATACTTTCCAGACAAATTTTACTAATATATATCAATAGCATTCAATATACAGAAACACCGCATTCTCAAAACACTATTGATGATTCAGTTCAATAGTTTTCTACTAGATAATTTGTTTAATACTGTATTTGTTATTTAACCAAATACTAAATGAGAAGGACACTTGATTAAATTACTAATTTGGCAATACCAGGCACTGTATTTAAAACAAACTCTTATTATAATTTATTCTTCTTTGACTCTTATAACACGAAAATGAAAAAAAAAAATTATTAAAAAATTAACATTTTTGAGTATGGAATGGATTGTTGGTGCATATTTAGAATTCAAATTTAGCATCTCAGATGTGGTAAAGTCAAAAATTATCCCAAAAATACTTCTTCATGAATCAAATTTTATAGGTTCTTTATAAATTAATTCAAAATTCGAGGTTGATCCAAAATTAAGACTTTAAGATAATTTCATGCAGTACTTGTTATTTAACCATTGAAAGTTGAATTGAAAAGGTCACCTCATATGTGAACAAAATATGGGATGAATATGCTTTTCTTACCAAAGGCTAGATAAGATGCATTTCTTTCTCTTGCTCTCTCTTCCTTCCAATTTGTTGTAGCCCATGACTTGTACCTGTTATATGAGCAAGGAATTCTACAATATATTAAATGTCCACATATGTTTTCTCTCTTTATTTTGACCATATATTAAATGCTTCAGGCCGTCGTAGGAAGCCAATAGGAGGTTTTGTTTGACACTGCATCGCAAGTCTCTGCCAAATTTATTGGGGTCAAAGCTAGCCATCATGTTATACCCAAATAACTTTCTTTCCAAAATAAAAAATAAATTTTTTTTTTTGGGTGAAACCAAAAAAAATAATTAAAAATTAGAAACAAAGGAAAAAACAATATTGACAAATTTATTTTTCACTTAAAGGGCAGTATTGGAATCCAGAGCGGTTTATTTTATATATAAAGTACAGATTCTAGAGAGAGGGGAGAACAGAGGACTAGACAGAATTTGAAAACAGAAGTTCGAGCTTTAAGAAACATAAGAGCTCTCTGTGATTGTGAGAAACATGGAACAAGTTGTGTTGCTAGTTGATGATTTAAGATTACTTTCTGGGATTTCTCGCTGTAGAATATGTCACGAAGAAGAATTTGAGAGCTCCAAAAGCTTGGAAGCTCCTTGTGCTTGTTCTGGGACCGTTAAGGTAAATCCAAACTTTCTTAAGCTTTTCTGGGTTTGATTTTTCAAATTGTGATTTTGGGAATCTTCTCATCAATATCTTTGTTTTCTTGTCCAGTTTGCTCATAGAGATTGCATACAGACATGGTGCAATGAGAAAGGAAATACAACTTGTGAAATATGTCTCCAGGTACGAGCCTTCAGTTTCTTGTTTTGATTTGTACTCTGCACAATGTTTTATCATTTTTTATTTTATAAGTTTCAGTTGATTATGATTTCCTGACGCTAAGAAATTCCTCGTTTTTTAATAATGAGGAAAAAGGATTGTTTGTGGTCCCTTCTTCTTCTGTTACTCTCCGATGATAATTTCCTTTTTGACGTTTTTCTCCTGTTTTATTGCGGATTGCAGTGCCATTTTTATTTTTATTTTGGGGTCTTTGCTTAGTATTAAAGTAAAGTCTCTCTGTAGTATTTGTATTCCATTTCGGTAGCAATGCTTATTTGTTTCTACAGAAGAAACCCTGCTTTGGTTTTAACTTGTTTTAATCTTCAATTCCATTTAATAATTTTGGAAAATGGGGTCCATGGAATTTTTTACTTTTAATGTTTATACATTGAATGAACAGAGTCCCCTTTTGATGAGCACGAAGTGATTCTTTTTTATATATTTCCTTTGTTTTTGCAGCAATATGAACCTGGATATACAGCACCTCCAAAGAAATCTCAAGTATGTGACGCAGCAATGACCATAAGGTAATTTCTCCAATATATATTTTTCCGTTTAATTTAATTGAATATATATAACATGCTTATGTTGAATGCAACACAATTTTAGTTTTCTTGGTTGCAACATGTCTCAAAGTCACTCCTCTTTTCCGCGTGCATTTCAATCAAAGTGAACATATGTGCCTTGCAACTAATTATTTAGCCTCGATCATTTCACAATTCTAAAATGTGATACCTTTACTAAGCTACGTTGCAATACTTTTTCTCTCAAGCAAAAAAATTTATCTTTTTTTTTTACTACTTGTTGTGGTGCAAAATGTTTTTTTTAAAAATTATTTTTAGGAAATTTGACAAATAGAAGCGAGTTATTGCCAAATTATTTATTTTTTGGTACACAAAATTTATTTTTTTAACCAATTTTAATTATTTATTTCAGGGATAGCCTACAAATTTCAAGGAGTGAACAAGAACCGTCCAACAGAAGAATAGTGGAAATAGTTGAAGGAGTAGCATTAGAAAACAATTACTCTGAATGCACATATGCTGCAGATAGAAGCGCGTCTTGTTGTCGATCACTGGCTTTAGCTGTAAGCATTACTTATATTTTACTATTTATTTATTTTTCCTTCTGTGGACGGTGATGGATAAATCTTAATCGAATTCAGATCTTTTAAATGATAGTGAATAATAGTGTGGATACTGGAATTGGGGTACATGCCTCTTTGTTGAGTTATAATTAATAGATCTGAAATTGGACACTTAGGATATAATCATGTTGCATGAACTTGAAAAATAATTGAGTCAGAGACTCCAACGTAGGTTGCTATTATTGCCAACTAGATTAGCCAGTTTTAGTCAACGGGGTGCCGCCACCAACACATGGCTCTGAGCTATATTGCATTGACCTTCAGCATATTTTCTCTTTAAGTAAACAAAGGATTTGATCCTTGGGTGTATTTTCGTGTAATTCAAATCAACAAGGAAAAGTTTTATTCTCTTTTTGAGTCACGTTTTTTATAATCTTTGGTTGTGGTGGATTTGCAGATATTGGAATGAACTCTAGCAAACTTTAAAGTAGTTTAACTCAAAATGCATGTTGATATGTCTAAAAATAACTGGTGCCTTTTTATTGTTGCAGTTTACCCTCATCTTGCTTGTAAGACATCTTTTCGCATTGCTTGCAAATGGAATGGAAGATTATCCATTTACAATTCTTACGGTAGGTACTTGGTTTTTTAGTTTTCAACTAAAATGAAAAAAAAAAAGAAGGATAGAAAAATACCTGCTTTGTGAATCATTCATCTAACTTTCAGTTTTGTTTGTAGGTCTTTATACTAAGGGCAAGTGGAATTATTATACCCATGTACATAATTATTAGGACGATCGGATCCATTCATAATAGTATTGGGCACCACTATTATCAGGTTTAAAAGTTTCTCATTCAGTTACTGTTTTTTGTTTGGACAGACTAATTCTCCAATTTCAAGTTTGACATGAAACCACAACTAAAAATGATTGTTCCTCTGTATGTCAGGATTCTAACAATGACTCATCAATGTCTGATGAAGATGACGAAGAAAATGAGACTTCAAATGATGTTATTTCAAGATATTCATAGTGTCATAGTAGGTCATTATATTGCTTCAACTTTTATCAGAGCATTATGCTGATGCTCTGTCAAATTTCCACATTTTATGGGGCATAAATTTGTTATAAAAAAGAATGCAATTCAGATCGAACTTGCCGTCTTTATACGGTGTCTATCTACTCTCTACCTCCCAACAAACTAAGTATATATAACAACCAAATTCACCTATGTGTATTCACTTGTAAAACAAGTCTATTCGACTATCGTCCAAAACATGTACAACGGGACAGCCTTCAATTTGTTAGTTGAAATTACATCGACACTTCGACTGCAACTATTGATAGGCAGCACACGACCAATGAAATAGGTATGTTGGATAAGAGACCTTATCAGGATTCACATCAACATACATGGCTTTAAAGTATTGTTCCTTTTCATAAGAATGAATTTTACCATTTCTATGATAAATCCAACCGAGGACTAGCAATTTGATATTTCAATGGGGAAGAATTAGTTGACACCGGTATAAAAATAACAATGCTTACACAAAACTTTAACCTTTGATCTACTTATATTTAGCTATAAGATATTCTATCTATTTCTTCTTCTTCTTTTTACATACTTATTTTGTCTATCACTCTTCAACACTCTTATATCAGAATTTTAAGAAGAAATAAAAACGGTAAAGGTAGACATGAAAAAAGGTAAATAAAATAACTTATTTTTTATATTTAACAATTTTAATTTATTAATCATGTAAGCCGTTAGAAACAAATAAAATCAATGACTAGATTGAAAATGAAACTTAGATGGGTGTGCGTAAAAGAATTTCGATAGTAACTTTTTGTTATGAAATAGTTACAATTTGGGGAGATATTGTAACTGTTCTCTCTGTAACAACTTAAATTAGTGGATTAATCGGTTGTACTATTATATCATCAACCCAATTTTGCTTGAAAGAGTTGGTTTCAGAAAACACCTCTGGTATTTACAATAAAAGGTTCTCAAATTCCCCAGACTTAGCAGCAGCCTTTTCAAGAATGGAAGTCGGAAATCCTGACGAGATGTGATTAAATAAAATGCATTATTGCAGTTTCTGAAAGCCAGTTAGCAATGGACTTTGGCTCAGTTAGCAGTCCCGTGTCACTCATTCCGACAAAAATGAGGTCCACAAGCGACAAATTAAAACTTTGTGTTAGGCCCATATGGTATCAAATAAAGGGCATATCAATGGATCTTAAGCACGTAGTGGTTGTCGTGGCCCAGTCCCATGCACATGCACAGTGCACTTATATGTTCGATAATTTCACCTTGTTAATATTTTTCGATTAATTACGAGATTCTTCACTAAAATTGGATTTCTTAATAAAAAAGTTAAAAGTTTTTCTTAAAAAGTTTGTTTCCCTAATGCTAAATTGATAATTCAATCCAAAATATAATATATTACTGTTTATTAAAAGTATGTAGCCTATTGTTAAAAAAAAGTGTGTCGCAACACATAAACTCATGATCTAAGACGATTTTCTTTCCAGTATTCTTGATCTATTACCGTTTATGCATGTTTAACTTTATTGCCACCTATCTAGTAATAATTAATACACATATGCCAACGAACTCGCCAAATTTCAGAACTTGAAAGAAGGTAATAAATTAGTGGAGATGATGATATAGATCGCTCCAGTATTGCGTAATTTTTGTGCCCTCTGTTTATATTTTTTATGATCTATTTTTTAATAAAAATAAAATTAATAACACATTTTTTAATATTTTTATTTTAATATTCTTTTATTATTAGATGAAATATCATGTTAATTTTTCTATATTATTTATGCTTATTCATTATTAATGAAGATAGTATAAAATTTCACTAGATAATAAGATAACGTTAAAAAATGTTGAAAACTGTGTTATTTATGGTTTTTTTTTTCTTAATCTTCATCATAGTAAATTAGTAAGACTACTTGTATTTAAAAACTTATAGTTTAGTTTAATTTCATTTTAAACTTTTTCCTTAGTTTTATACATGTTTATAGTTAATTAAGGAAAAAATATTATTGTCTTAATAGTTTTATTTTTTATTTTAATTTTATCTATTTATTTTTTAATAAATTAAAAATTAATATTTAAAAATATTAAAAATAAAATAGTAGAAATATAGCACCCATTAACAAATCTATTAACATTTCAAAAGAAATAAATAAGAACTTTATATTATCTAATCCTAATTTTTTTTCAGTAAACATCTAATCCTAATTTAATTACATTACAAAAAGTATAAAAATATATATATATAAGAATGTTCATCTTAATTCTCTTTTTTTGTTTTTTTTCACAACGACGCATTAAATTTTTTATCTTGGGCAACAAATTCTCGTGAATGTTGAATTGATACACCCTTTATTTGCAATGGTCATATATCTCCATTAGCTTGTTGAGTTTGATATTGTTTCTGACATAATTTTTTTTTCCATTTTTTTAAATTGTTGTAAGGAAAAAAATTCAAAAACTCTCCCATGATTTAATATTTTATCACTTAGTCCCATATTGTTCCTTTTTTTAATTGCTTACCTATTTTGTGTTTTTTTAATTGTTCATAGGGTAAAATGGATAAATTAGCTAATATTTAGTGACGTTAATAATGGATTTGGATAAAAAAAATACAAAGAAAATAAGTTATATAAAAAAATATAGAGGATAAATGATTATAAAGCAAACCATGTGAGGGTTTTCAACTTTTCCCTATTCTTTATGCCTGTACATCTAGCTTTCACTTTTTCTACCGTCAATGTAAATAACTTATCTACATTAAGCTCAAAACGATGTCGTTTGAGGCAAAAATGAAGTTATTTTTGTAATTATAATGTATTTCAAAATTATAATAGTCTTTTTCATTAAGCTCAAAACGATGTCGTTTGAGGCAAAAATGAAGTTATTTTTGTAATTATAATGTATTTCAAAATTATAATAGTCTTTTTCATTATAATTTTTTAATTTTTCAACCTAAAATGACGTGTTTGGGAGCGAATGTAGATAACTTATCTACACTCACTGTAAAAATATTAAAGTCATATATCAATTAAATAATCCAAATCAAAATGTTAAGCATGTTATATATATATATATATGGGTTTTATAATTCTCATTTAACATGAGAATTACAATTTTCCTACATACCCTTTGATTTCCGTCCTGACATGGGTTCTACATATAATTTTTTCTAACACATGGGTCTCACATGCTTTTTATCTCTACAACATGAGATTTTAATTCTCCTTCAACATGAGGATTATAAAACCCTATATATATATATATATATATATATATATATATATATATATATATATATATATATAAAAGCACCTTATACTTTTTTTTGGATGGGCAAAGCAGGTACTTTACTTATATATGTAAATGAATTGATATACTTGATACGTAAAGTATTAAAAAATATTTCATTCTGGTAGCTCAATTGGTCCATGCGAGCTGAGTAGATGGTAAAAGGGCTTCGGTTCGATTCCCACAATGTTATCTTGGGAGAGACATAAGATCTTAATCCCAGACTCATCCAGCACTTGAATTAGTTTTATAACCGGCTTAAAAAGTTAAAACTTATGAGAATATCGGGGAAGCCTACTCGTCTCTAAGAATTAATTAAAGTTGGTATAAAAAAAATCATAATTCTTAACTAGGAAAATCATTCAAATATAAACATTAACGTACAGGTGATTATACAAAATTAAACGGGCAGGTTACTCATAAATTAGGCATATAATATACAAACGGCTTATAAACTATAATTACACTATTGAATTTCATATTTTAATCATAATAATGTTTTACTAATCTATGGATTTGGCTCACCCATACTTATTATAATTATATTTTAAGTTTGGATTAATGAATTTGTCGTTACAAAGCATTAAATAATCTCCATATAAGTTATTATCAGAAATCCCAGCCAAGCTAAACTTTTTAGTTGTTATGATAAAATAAAAAAACTGTATAAGTGCCAAAACTTTTAAGTTAAAAATTTTAAAATATTTCTAATTTTACCTGTCTCTTTGTCGGATAATCAATAAATCATGAAAAAATTTAAGAAAAAATTAAAAGAAAATAAATAATTTCAGATCATGCATCCATACATATAAAGTGCCTTTTAATTATATAATTACCTTTAAATATAAAGTTAAGAACTTAGGGAATGTGATCTAATTGAGAATTAAACCCCTAACAATGATGTTAATCTCCTTTTTTATTTTCTTTTTTTGGTAATGTTGTTATAATTAAAGTGCATGTTTGTAGGACAAAAATTATTTTTCACATAGCAAGATTATATATATATATATATATATATATATATATATATATATATATATATCTGGTGTGTGTGCGCGCGTGCATACGTGTATGTATATGTATATACAGTGCATTATTTTTTATCCTGTTGTGTGCGTGCATTATTTTTTAAATATTTATATTGCATTTTTTTTTTTTTATCATTTATCATCAATGAAATATAAAAAATTTCTACCTTTGTATAGACTGCAGTAAATAATAATACTGGATAGTTATTATAAAAAACCTTAAAAGGTAATAAAATCAAATCACTGAATCCGGTTTTGATAAAATGATTGGGTAATTAATAAAGGGTTTGCTTTTTCTGCAGTTACTGCAGATAACTTATTTGCAGTAAGCCTAATACGACGTCGTTTTGGGCGGAAATCATGGTGTTTTTGTAATTTTAATTTATTTCAGGGTTATAATAGTCTTTATATTTATAATTTTTTAAGATTTCAATACCAAAACGGCGTTGTTTTGAAAATAAATGCAGATAACTTATCTGCATTAACTGCAGAAACATTTTTCCCGTTAATAATTTGGAAGAGATCATAAGTTTGAAATCCATATTGTTAATTTGTTTTAAAAGCTTATAGCTGGCAGAGATAACTGGAGGAATTTTCATTTACGGTAAGTTCGAGCCTCATTCAACACCAACAAACGGTTGTGTAAGAAGATAAGATTACATATTTTAATATTATATACTTGAAGTCATTTATGCACTCCGATTTCAATTGCATGTTTATATCGAATGTATAATTTTGTTTATTTTTATTAGATAAGAGAGTTTTTTTTAATCCTAGAAGTGGTTCATTTGCAACAATACAAAGAAAATTAACAAATAAAAATCTTTCATGGAAGCCTTTTCTTTTCTTTTATATATATAAATAAAAATCATAATAAATCTGTGTTGATGTCAGCAAAATCTCAATTAATTTTTTGATTCTGTGTTTAAATATTGTTCTGGCTAAACGCTAGGCAATTCAAAAAGTTTTGATCATCCATAAAAATGGAATTAATTTGCAATATTCTTTGGTAGGTATCAGTAATGAGCAAGATTGAGTCTCCATTATGGAGAATATATTCTAGAAAGAGTAAAAAATATTCCTGAGGTATATTTTCTCCAAATCTTGCCTTGTATAATAATAATATCTATAAAAAAGTTCTCTACATTTTTAGTTGCCAACTAATATCCTGCCGTGTAAAATAATGGTATGAATAACAATAATAATAATGGTTTAAGCTTGTATAATAATAATATTAGTTGCCAACTAATATCTTGCCTTGTATAATGATAATACTCGTTGCAAAAAATTTATTGCCCATAGTATTTTACTAGTACTTATATCAACATCAATATGATTTCATGGAGATTCCAATACAGAAATGACTGAACAGTTTCATCACATTCACAAGACAATGAATCTCTGCTTATCAATTGCCTTGCGACCTTCATCTTTCGTGTTCCTGCTGGTATATTGATTAGTTCTTGCCATTTTTTTTGTTTTTACATGTTTTCTTATTATTGATATTCATGGTATTAACCTCATGGTCAATGAAGGAGAGGTTCCCATGCTCTGATTTAATCTATTATTCTTCTTGGTTTCATTTGGAACTGAAAGAAACAATTGCTCATAACATACTGTGTTTAACAACATTACTTTTTATAGTTAAATTAGTTGATTTTATCATTTTATTAGAGCCCTATGACAAGGAGTATCTTTTTACTTTTTGTAACGCTGTCTGTGTTAAACAAACATTTGTTGTAGGCATATGGTGCCCTGATAGTTCTGGTCTCATTGATGCCATGCTGGTATGGCATAGTCACACACATGGAGAAACGTGTGAGTTTGAACTCAGAAAATATCGTGTCCCAATTTCCATCAGAAATTGAGTACTCTGCTGAACTCTTACACCCTATGAAATCATCATCTACCAATTTAGCAAGATTTCTGAGTTCATCCATTGATACAACGAATATCTCTTTCTCTGATATTGAGACCAAGGTTAGTATATTTTCTCATATAAATCACATATATCAATATATTGTTTGATTAATTTTTCTATATATTTATGTGTCATATTACTCGCCTGGAACACGAGAGTAATTGTCTCCTATTGTATAGCATGTGATGGAACCCATCATTTCTTAAAAAAAAGAAAAAAAAAGGAGAGGAGCATGGAAATCCACGAGTAAGTAGAAAAAAAAAATTTAATGTCGTGTTAAAATAGAGTAATATAACCCTATATTTATATAAAAACAGTTTCTTTGTGATTTTATCTTTTTTTGTTTTGTGTGCAATGTAGGTGGCTCCGTTTTTATTTGAAGCATTTAAGACAGTTCCTCACTTAGCCCAAATCTCATACATAGGGATGGAAGGTCTCTTTTTCTCATACTACATTGATCATGATAAGGCACTAGCAATGTACTCTAATTCATCATCATCTTCGTCTTTAAATTCTGGTGCCTCAAATAAAACCTTATACTATATCCAGCCTGTAAATCATGAAACTGGAGAGGTTTTTGGGGAAGCAATAATATCTAACCCCTCTATCAGTGCAAGTTGGATTAGGGAAGCTGTTAATATTTCACATGGTTTTACTTCATTGGGAACCAAGTGGAGCAATGGTCATGATCTTTTGTTCCTCAGTTCAGCTAGCATCACAAGAACAGGAGTCATCTCTCTAGGGTTTTCGGCAACAGCAATAACTGATTTTGTTACTCGTATAATTAGCCATCAAGGCACAACCTCGTATTTGGCTACCAAAGATGGAAAAGTTCTTCATGTAGAAGGGTTTCAACATACCCATTTGGTGATTTCTAATGATGCGGTTTCCTTCCAATCAGTGAACGTAAATGGTGATTTAACGGGTAATGAGGGCAATGTCTCGTGCAAGGATAAAGCCGTTGCTTCTAATTTGAATATTCGGGATTCTGAATATTTAATTCATTGCTACCCCATTGATATAATGGGAATAGAATCGGTACGTTTTTATATTTGTACATATTTGCTGAATCACAAACATAGAACTATTTTCAATAAATTCCAATAGTAGTACATTTACAATTAAGAGATGCATCATATCTTCACTAATTAACAGGGATTTTATTTTCTCGTCATAACTGCAAAACATTGAATTAATGAATAATCAGATTTGAATGTTAATGAAAGAGATATTCTTTCCTAAGCCCCGTTGTAAATGTGACGTTAAATATTATATAGAGTCTATAGACTATAGAGTAGCGCCCATAATGCTTTGCATGGAATTGAATTAATAATTTTAATTCAAAGAAAGAACATAAAAAATAAAATTTTAATAAAGTAACACGTGCTTGAATTAAAATCAGTAGTCAAGAGTAGTACTGTAGCAATTTAACATTGGGATTGAATAATTTTTCTTATATCTAATTTGATAATGGTTCAGGTGTATGTTTTGGCTGTGCCACAAAACGGAGTTGTCAGCTTTGATGTGAATTATAACAGGAAGGGATTGACACTGTTGATTGTATCGATGGTGATGATATTTATTGCTATCTTGAGTTTTCTATACATAAATGGTAGAGCCACAGGGAGAGAAATGCATTTGATTGCCTCACTCATCAAACAGATGGAAGCCACACAAGAAGCTGAGAAAAAGAATATGAATAAGAGCGAGGCTTTTGCTAAAGCCAGCCATGATGTTCGGTCTTTTCTCGCAGGTCTTATGGGTTTGATAGAAGTGTCCAAGGAGTTAGTTGTCGCCGGTTCAGAATTGAAGACCAATTTAAATCAAATGGATACTTGTACCCAAGACTTACTAGGTAAATGTCATCCAAACTTGATGTGATTGTACCCTTTATATAATTATGAATTTTAATTCTTATATGGTATCACTGACTTGTTTTCTTTATATGCATACATAATTAGGATTGTTGAATTCTATACTTGACACAAGCAAAATTGAGGCAGGGAAATTACAACTTGAGGAAGAGGAATTTGATGTATTCCGTCTTGTGGAAGAAGCAGTTAATTTATACCATCCCGTGGCTATGAAGAAAGGTGTTGATCTTGTGCTGGACCCCTGTAATGGTTCTGTTATCAAATATGCACGTGTGAAAGGTGACAGGGGAAAACTTAAACAAATTTTGTGCAATTTACTGAGCAATGCTGTTAAATTTACTGATGAGGGGCACATAGCAGTTCGGGCATGGGCTCAGAAGCCAAGTTTGCAGAACTCAATAATCACTACTAATCAATATAGTTTCACCAAACATTTTTCATGCTTATTTTATAAGAAAAACGAAGCTCATGTTGATATAGAAGCCATGAATTCAATCCAACAAGATCCGTGTTCTATGGATTTTGTGTTTGAAGTGGATGACACAGGAGTAGGAATTCCTAAGGAGAAGCACAAATCTGTGTTTGAGAATTATGTCCAAGTCAAAGAAACTGGACCTGGCCAAGGAGGAACTGGCTTGGGACTTGGGATTGTTCAGTCTTTGGTAGGTATTACTTGTTAGTTATTTTTAAATAATTGTGAATGGTAACATCACTGAGCCACAAATTCCCTTGATAAAAATCTTATCTTATTTTCTTTAGGTGCGTTTGATGCATGGAGATATTGGAATTGTGGACAAGGATAAAGGTGAAAAAGGAACATGCTTCAGGTTCAATGTGCACCTAACTGTATGTGAGACAGAGATTGATGATAGCACAAGGGAATTAGGTGATGGAAATCAAGCTGAAGGAAGAACCATTCACGCTACTAGTACTAGTCCTAGGCCTGAGGATTCTTGTGTTGTTCTTTTGATTGCAAGCGAGGAGCGCCGAAAAACTTCACAAAGGTTCATGGAGAGATTAGGGATTAAAGTTAATGTTGTGAAGGAATGGAAGCATCTGTTCTACACTCTCATCAAGATCAAACAGAAGGGTAACCTTTCCAGTGGCAAAAGTACTCCTGGGTCTACAAGTTCTCATAATTCTCTTGCCAGAGCCAAAGGAGTAGTTCCTTTGAGTGGTATGGATGGAACTGAGTATATGCCTTCAGTCTTCAAGAAGACACATAATGGAGCTTCCCCAGGTTTCATCCTGATTGTAATTGATGCAAATGCAGGACCATTTTCTGAACTTGATAAGATTGTGTCCCAGTTCAAAAGAGACCTTTGCAACCCCTTTAAGGTTGTTTGGTTGGGTAAGCCACTTATACGTAGAATAATTGATCAAAATGACATTGTCATATCCCAACCTTTTCATGGTAGTCGTTTGTGCCAAGTTATAGAGCTTCTTCCTGAGTATGGTGGTGCTTGGCAAAGTAATTCTAGTAAAGCAAAGAGAGAAAGTACTCATGATCATAGAGCTGGACTGGATTTCCCTCCACTGGAGAGATCACGAGTATCCCCATATAATGATAGCTCATTCCAAAGTGTTGAACAAACTTGGAAGGGAACTCAACAATCAAATGGAGATCCTTCACATGTTTGGCCCAAAGCTGCAAGAAAATATCCAGTTCATCAGGGGGAAACACAAGAATGTGGAAAACTCTTGAGTGGTAAGAAACTTTTGATTGTTGAGGACTCTGCATTGTTACGAAAGCTAGCTTCGGCTACTTTGATTCCCCTTGGTGCAACTATCGAGCAATGCGAGAATGGTGAACAAGCTGTGCGGCTAGTTGATGAGGGTCTAGCTCGGGATTTTCCTAATCCTCCTTATGATTACATCTTAATGGACTGCCTGGTAATCACTATGGACTATATATGGTTTAAATTTTAAATTATGATATAATTTAAATTAAATAAAAGGTGAACATTATGGTCCATTAATGCATATCATGCCCAGAGTGAGTTGTTCATGATTTATTAAAGGTTGAATTCTCAATAAATTAATGCTTAAGTCTAGCTATTAAATATAATTAATAGGTAATAAATAATTCACAACTCGCTTTGAGTACGTACTCATAAAAAAAAAATGGATACTACATAAGTGATTTTTCATTGTAACATAATATGTGCTTTTAATTTTCTATGATTGATTCAACAGATGCCAGTAATGGGTGGGCTTGAGGCAACAAGGCTGATACGAAATAAGGAGAAGCCCTATGGTGTTCGCATTCCTATCATTGCATTAACTGCTCTCACTGATAAAATGAAGAAAGAGGATGGAATGGACTTTCATATAGTCAAACCCATTAAGAGAGAGCATTTACTTGAAGCCATCAGATACATACATGGTCAAGAGTAGGGGCGAAACTGGATCGAGCCGGCCTACAGGAGTCTACGGCTTGGTCTATATCAGGCTAGGCCTGACCTAGTATATTTTATATAATAGGTCGGGCTTGAGCCTTAAAAAAGCCTGTTTAATAAAAAGGCCGTAGGCCCACTTTCAAAAGGCCGAGTCTATAAGCCTACAGGCCGGCCTATATTGTACTATTTATTTTAAATAAAATAGAGTAAGTATGTCTTGAAGAAAAAAAAAAAGATATAAATTCAATCAATTGCAATTATTTATAACTTAATCATATTCGATTATATTTTAATAGAAATCTTACTTTATTTCTTATATAGGAAGTACCAACATCTCAACATGTTAGATTGTGTATATGAATATATTAAAAAAAAAATTGGCAGAGGTTATACTTACTACAAGCATCATGATATGTTTGTTGGATTCATGTAGTTGTTTTAATTTACATAGTATGGATTTGTTTGTTGGATCTGATGAAATATATATTATTTAATTTGAGCATTTTGCTTTTGAAAATGACTTAAATGCATATTGTATTAGTTTTGTTATGATTCATGATTCTGTTTGGACGTTGAAATTATGATTTTTGGTGTAGCAACAAAATTTGAGTATTTTGTAAAGTTGATTCATGGTTCTGTTTGGAAGTTAAAAATTAACAGGCTAACGGGTCAAGCCAGGCTATTTGTTTTTTTCATAAACGGGCCAAACCAGGCTAACAGTTAGACTCATACTAGGCTTGGGCCGGGCCAAATTGAAATTTTTTTACGTAGGTTTGGATTTTTCGGAGCAAAATTCGGCCCAGCCCAGCCCATTTTCACCCCTAGTCAAGAGTGACACAATGTACAAGTCTTTCTGGTATTCCTCTTTTATATATAATCTGTATATAAGCAAATTAAAGTGGGAATATACGTATGCGCTTTTTAGCAGTATTAAAGTGACTTATATAGATATTTGAATAGCATAAATTGGGAATCATATTTCAGTATGCGTGTTAATTATATATTTTGAAGGAACTGAAATTTAACTGATTTAACCGATGGGTAGGCCGTACTAATTGTAATAAGTAATAACCACCAGAGGGAATATTTGATAGTAATGTCGAGGGCATTCGAAATATAAAAAGGAGCCTGGATGTTAATATAACTATTTTCGTTCTTAGATGTGAAGCATTAATGGGCATATATAATTAGATGTGAAGCAATGATTATTTGTCCCGTAATTTTCAAATAGCATATTTGCCATCAGATCTTTACTAACATGTGCCAAAGTTCTACACTGATTGGAATGAGTTGGGAAGATAAAAGGGACACAAACATATATGATATATGATATGTAACTTGGAAATAATGATATTTTAAAAATAGGAATAAGTTATTCTATTTACTTTTTTTTTTACCTACTTTACCTACCAATTTTCAACACTGTTAAATCGGAATCTCAAGAAGAAATAGAAATGGTAAAAATTAGTTGAGATTCTCATCTAATAGTATTGGAGAATGATAGATAAAATAAGCATGAAAAGATATAGGTAGAATAACTTATGTTTTTAAAATACTTGTTTTATCAACAATTTCCGTTGCTTTTATACATTTTAGTCTATATTTTTTTTAAAAAATTACTGGTACAACTGAGATACCTTGATGATTAGATAAATGTTATTATTCTATTATGTTTATAATGGCTAAAACTAATTTACAAAACATTAGTGTTTTTCTTCTAATTTAGAATTTTTGTTATTTATGTTAAAGATTATAAAAATGTATCTTAATCATATCGTGTCTATATTTTTTAAAATTTATTATATTCACATATAAGAATCGTTTCGTATCCGCGTCCAGTTTTTATGTGTTTTCTAGGTATACAAACCCCAAGCTATATCGTGCTATTTGACACTACGTATCTTCGGGTGATATGCATATTTTTAACTCTCTCTTTTTTTTTCTTCTAAATAGTTTATCTATATGACTTATGCACTAACGCCTAAAACCATTTTGGTGGCTATTTTTTTGCCTACGACCAAAATCTTCACGGTTCATTGATTGAAAAATTTTGCACATGATGATTTCCTAAAACGCGGAATGCAAAAATCTCTTGCATTATGATCAGACCAATATAATATGAGCTGGCCAATATGTATCGAGTATAATCACACACAGTTGATGAAAGAAGATTTTGGGTTGGATTATCTGCTTCTTGGACTGTTGATGGCTGTTTGTAGTGAGATGGACATGATTCTCCTTTGGCGCGAAGAGCCTGACTGGGGTGGGTACCTACAATGACACTCCGACGTTCAAGTCAGTATCAAAGTCAGGCTTATGTTATATTCTTACTGAATTAGATCGTTGTACCTAGCATGTACCATTTGTTTATATAGTGAATCTGATGCCGCCTTTGGTAGGCGGTATGTCTTCTGATTGGTTGTTTATGGGCTGCAAGTTCAGCTGGTGTCTTTCTAGCCTTATCTCTATATGTCAAGCTATCTTGGTAGAATGATGGCAAGCTAGAGCTGTCTTCCATGTATTGATTCTATGGCGCGGTGGCTCTTTATTCGTATTATTGATCACTTTCTTAACTCTGAAGTCATGTTTAAGGTAGTTTGAGCGCGATGAAACCATCGCGCCCCCTGATTCTTTATGCGCGATATACATATCGCGCATTGTTTGGGCCCTGTGTGTTTGGGCCTTTAATCTTTTGGGTTTTAGCCCTTGTTGGGCCCATTGTATTTTATCCAGATCACCCTATAAATAAGTACTTTCTTATTCATTCTTTGCATCTCTTTAACTCAAGTGTCTCTTAATAATATTATTTTGAGTGAGGCGTATTTTCCTAATATAAGATAATGATATTATTTTCTTTTTGTATTTAGAGAGGTTGTAATTTTTTTTACTTAATAAAAAATCTTCTTTGATCTTATCCGTAATTTTTCTCTATTGAGTTTTTCACGTAAATCTTGGTTGTCACTTCAATTGACATATTTGTTGATCTCCTAACAGGTGGAATTATGATAAAAGTAAAAATAATTACATTGTTAGTGTCTAAGAAAATTATTAAAAGGCATAGCCTTAAATTTAATGATTATGTAATCATTGACTGTTGCGTAGCATAGAGAAACTCCCGCTGAATTAGCTCACAAATTGGTGTAGCTACTATAATAGCCCTAACTTAATTAATTAGCAAATTACATGTAATTAAATAATTAAGCATGTTTTAGTGAGTAAAATTAAGTATAAGGCTTAATTAAATGAATCTGAGTCACTTTGAAGTTAAAAAGTGTACTCAGTGAAAATTAAGGGCTATAAATGGGTGTAGGCAAAAGTACCCAAAATATAAAAATAAAAGTGGAAATATTCCTAGAATAATATTCCAGACTTTTGGGTGAAGTTTGGTAATTATTGGAGTTAAATAGATAGACGAACCAATACCCGCTTAAAGTCACTTAACCTATGTTAAGTGACTAAAGAACAAAAAAGAACCCCAAACCCCCCAGAAACCCGTCGAGAAACAGAAGGAGGGAAAAAAGAGAGGAAGAAGAGAGAAAGGAAGGAGAAGAGGGAGAGAGAGAACCTAGGGGAGGCAAACGTTGACCAAATCTATCCATTCAAAAGTCTAAATCGCTTAGAATCTCCTCCTCTTTCATAATCCTAGCTTTGTTTTGAGTGGGGAGCATTGTGGAGAGGGATATTGGCTCTCAAAAATTCGCCCATTTGGGAAATTTGGGGTTTTGAGTACTTCAACCTCCATTGAAGCTTAAGGAGCCATCAATCCTTGGTTGTGCAACCATTGGTGGTAAGATTCTACCCCTTGAACCTTTTTTTCATGGAAAATTGCATGAGTTAGGGTTCAATGAATAGTAAATTGGGGTTTTGATGAAATGTTGTTAAATTAGCTATGTTCTAGGAAGAATAGAGCTTAAAGCATGTTGTGAAAAATGCTAGGAACGACGTTTAATCGGCGAAAATGAGCTTAGATAGCTAAATGAGTATATTTGGAAAATGGCAAGAATATGATTCTTGATATTGGACTTTCTTGCAATTGTACTCAATGGTTTGGTTGATTGATGATTGTGTCCTAATGATGTCTAGGATTGAGGCATTTGGACCAACCGTAAGTGATCAACCATTGGAGCAAGCTATGGAGCTTGATTAGCTCCATTGGATAGGTGAGTTCATGCTTATGTTTGGTATGAATTGTATAGCTTGGTTGATAGCTATGAGATGTTATTGGATGCAATATGTGTTAATTGCATTAAACCTTGTGTAGGTTTTGTTTGAGAAGTGGAATATCGTAATTAACGGGCTGTGGAATCCGTGGGTGGTGAACAAAGGTCGAATTGAAGCTTGAGGTAAGCCTTCGGACCTTGGGTGTAATTCCCTTGATTGTTCCACCAAGCCCTGAAAGGGTAGTGGTAATTATAGTGTATATAAATGCAATGAAATAGTGTAATGCTTTGTTATACGTATGTGTATGCATTTGGTGTGGCATAGGATGGTGTTTCCCTATGTGGTATGTTGCATGACGATGCGTAAATCATACTTGGTAGTTAGCTGGCCAGTAGGACTATTTGCATTTGAGTTTCCTTAGGACAGCTTGAGAGCTCGAGGAATTTCTCCTGGAGATGTTATTGCACTTTGCATAGATATGTATTTACTGCATTATTATTGTTATTGATATTACACTGATATGGAACTGTGGGTGGAGAGATGCTCTAAGGACCCCTGGTTTACTGGATATATTCGTATATCTCACCCCGTGTTGTGGGGATCCCCTTTCAGGTAAGGATACTACAGGAGCCTCTGGTGGAAAGTGGCCATATCTGGATTAGCCTATGCATGAAGTGTTGCATTTTTGAGATTATACATGTTGTTTTGTAGCTCATATGTATAGAATTGTAATTAATAGGCAATGATAGATTTATGATTTGTATATTGGAATGGACTTAGCCTATGCTCATGCCTTTGGTCATCTCTTTTGTTGATGGGAGCCAAGGGAATGATTATAGTGTTTTGTAAGCTAAGTTCCATGATTTGTAAAGAATATGTACTGTAAATGATGCCTACTTGAAATTCAATATATGCATGATTGTTATGTATTGAGTTATTGAATTGGTTGGGCTGAGAATCAATTAGGTACCTTTTGTTTAAATTGGAAAACGTTGTGAAAATAAAGGTTATGCTGCCCAAATTCTAGCTAAATCTCATGAGGAGAGGTTGGATGAGTGCTAGGATTAAGTTTTGAGACATGAACAATTGGGGTTTGGAATGGGGATACATTTTCCCCTAGACTTGGACTTGAAAAATGAGGGTAATGGAATTCCCTGGCAGCGCGCTTTAGCGCCCTGCTGCCCCTGTGAGAGCCAATGCTTTCGGCCTCCTCGCGCTGGAGCGCCCAGAGTGGGGGCTTAAGCGCCCAGGGTCGAGCGCTTGAGCGCCCTGGTTCGCGCTTGAGCGCCCTCAGCCGCTGAAGGAGGAGATGTTTCTGCCTCTGCGCGCTAAAACGTCCCAAATGAGGGCTTAAGCGCCCAGGATAGCGCGCTTAAGCGCCCGATAACGCGCGCTTGTGCGCCCGGTAGCACGCTGAAGCGCGCAGGGCCTGTGATCAACACTCTCTTGTGTTGCTTCCAATTGTCCTAACTTGGGCTACAGTGCTCTAAATGGGAAGCGGTTTGAAGCCACGCGTAGCTAACGAAGAGATCTAAAATATAGTAGAATGGTGAAATAAATAAGAAGCAAATTAATGATTTAAAAATGGAATAAGAACATGATGTTAAGCTTGATTTATCTGATTCCGCAAGGTAATACGGTTATGATCACGAAATTGGGTATTATAAATTCGACATGTTTTAAAATGAAAAATTTATCCGGATTTTAATTGAACCCATGTGATTGTAACTGCGCTTAATATCATAATGCGATGTTAATAAACCGGTTCTAGAACGGGGTGTTACAGCTACTAGTGTCTTAAAATTTTTGCTTCTCTTAACTTTATTTTAATTATATTATATTATGTTACATAACACTATAAACCTTATGAATTTTTGTATGAGACAAAATGATCTCATATACGGAATTTTTTAATGTGGTCCAGGACCACCATGGTCCTTCCACTTAAAATTTGACACCTGAATTAATTTTTTTTTTCTCTCTCTCCCCAGTCCCACCAAACCTCTTTTGGTCCGGGAGCACATTAATTTCACTCCTCATATACACACAAAAAAGTGGGCGGGCCCACTTATTTTCTTTCTCTCTGTTTTTTGGTGAGTCCCATTCATTTATTTATTTTTTGTGTTGAATGAGACATTTTATTTCATGTATCATGAAAAACTATATTCCTTACAATCAAAAAGACTTTGCAAAGGTATTTGACACCTTTTTTTGAATATTTTAAAATATTTCGCATACAACATAATGGTTACTATAATTATTCTATAATTTAATGTTATTTATTTTATTTTATTTTTGGTAAGCATATAATGTTATTAAGTTATTAAAAAAATTGCAAAAAATCACTATTTATTATAAGATTTCAAACCTTTTTTAATATAAATAGTATAAGAGAAGAATCAACTTATCGTATATAGGAATAAATTTTATACTCAATCTAAGCAATTGATTTTGGTTGTCTCCAATGATTCGCATGATTAATAAGTAAGAGCCATTAAATATAAATAGAATCAAAAGTTAAAATTAGACATTAGACTTAATATTCCTATACCTGTATAAGATCATCCTTCTTCAATAATATGATTTTAAATATTTTTAGAAATCAAATTAACCGACTATTCTCAACGTTCCATTTTCACATATATAAATAAATCGATTTTTTTTATACCCAAAAAAAAAAAAAAAAAAAAAAAAAAGAACAATCTTATTCGATATATTAAATTGTCCAATATAGTAAAAACTAAAAACTGCTTCTGGTGATACTGTTCAGAACGCTCAATTGAACATAAATGTAAGATTGGACGAGTAGTTAATTTGCTCCAATTTTTACAGAATACGATGAATATCTCCACAATAGGAATAAAGTTTTAGCTATTAGGGAGACTGAAATATTGTTACGGCTATGCTACGTCATCTTCTGTTTTAGCCTTTTAGGTTGCCCTTCCATGCGTGTGCCATTGTCTGTAGGGTTCTTTACGCATATTATGTTAATGCACGTAGAATGGTGGAGTTTACCATTGCACCACAGTCCAAATTAATGCTGCGCTCTTAAAGTACTTAAATACAATTCCTTTTTGACGACCAACTTGAATGCAATGACAAGTAGGAAGTGAATGATTTATCTATGTTGCACCGACACGAGACACGAAATACGACACGATGACACGTTAATTTTAAAAAATGTTAAATTTTGACATGTTAAGAAACATTTTGATGTTACATAATATTTTTAATTTACGTAATGTATATTATATTTAGTATTCAATAATTTAAAAATAATAAAGTTAAACTTATAATACCCTTCAATTTTGTAAAGAAACATAATATATCCCAAATGTTTATATTAAGGAAAAAGTGTTTGTCATTTTAAATGACATAAAATTATGTCATTTTAAGAGAGAGATAGACACAAAATAAATTTTTTTAATTAAAATTTAAATTAAAAAAACTCATCCACTTTCTCCCCCATGATTTTCATTTTTTGTGTCTATCTCTCTCCTAAAATGACAACTTACGTTATTTAAAATGACAAACATCAAACACTTATATTAAACTCAATAAAATCGTAATCGTAATCTAACGAATCTAATAGTTGGAACTCAAAATACAACACAACATAACCTTTGAACTTTTTTTTGAGTCTTTACAACAAACATTGGAGTGTCGGGAATTATCAGAGTGTCTGTGAGTGTAAAAAAATGTCTGACACAACATGTCAAAATTTTTTGAATTGTCGGTGCTTCGTAGTGATTTATTGCTTTTAGACTATTTTAAATTGAAACTTAGAGGGGCCTAGGCAAAACCACCAAAACATTCAAAATCGAAATCGACGTCATAAAGCCGAAGATGCTCATACGAATCATCATAATGACACTTGGTATTTAAAATGATGAGTACGTAAATATATATACACACCCACGTGACGTGGCAACTAATATTTACCACCGTCTACGGCCTTCTCCATTCTATTAAACCATTGATTAAAGGCCAAATAATTATCCAAAATTGGATTAAAGAATGAGAAACAATGTTAGAAGAAATCTATAAAACCCGCTTTGGGCTTTCTATATCCTTTCAAGTCTCCTTCTAAACCATTCTGATATTCGCCTGATCTTCAACAGTTGAACATTTAATGTAAAGTACTCCTCAGCATTTGATAGCATTACCATTATATCATGCTTGACACCTTCCAGACACCGATAATAGTCATTCTTCAACCTTGACTGAATCAGTTCAGGATATAATGGGACGGGAAACCTGTAATACAAATCCAAAGATGATAAGTGTCATTAAAAGTTTGAAATTTGATATTGTCATTTTCTCTTTCTTTCTCTTTTTACCATTTTTACTTTCTTATTTTGCTTAAATTCAAGGACCGGAAATTGCAGAACAGGGCTACATATAAAATCACAGGCACATGGGCCCTCTTTCTCAGACAGAAATTTGAATTTGATATATCCTGTTAAGTTGCAAACATGTTTAGTACCTGTTTGAAAAATCTAACTTCTCAGCTACTTGGTTCAATGCCTGGATATACTTCTCCTGGATTGATGGGAAAAAAATAACGAAGTTAATATTCCATTCTTTTCCCCACCTCCCCGTCAATTTTGAAATATAACATGTCATTCCCATTTAGAATTCCTAAAATCAAAGTTAGAAACTTAGCATGGAGAAATGAAACTTAAGGTCTACTCACCTTTTGGTCTAATTTAGTGAAATAAGACAGCAGCTTATCTCTGATCTCAGGATCAATGTGGGGTTGCTCCCATGCAATCTCAGGATCATATAGTTCCCACGGACTATGCAGATGATTTTCTGTCGGATCAGTCTTGTACTGGATCAGATACCTATCCCAAGGACTGTCAGGGAAGTCATGAGATTTTGCCTGCACTGAAATAATTCGACCATCCCACCAACTTCCACTTTTCCCATCTTCATTTCTCCACCAGACCATGCATTTATCTCTTGAAGACCAATTTCTCTTAATCGCAGTATCATACCATGTTTTCTCAACAACAAAATCAGAGAAGTTAATCAATTCAGGCAGAGTTAATTTAAATGACTTTCCATGCACATTTGAAGAAGAATCTACAAATTTTAGTTTTAGTTTACAACAGCTATCCCCAGAACCTGGGAGCTCCGCATACTCAAGCTCTTCAACCTTGCAGATTTCAGAAGCACTTAATCCGGAAAATGATCTCCATGGACCTGATTCAGATGGTATACACGACTCTATGTACTCTTGATGGCCCTGTCAATCAAATATTCCCAAGAATATGAATTGGGAAACAAGTTACAGAACCAATAAAATAAGGTCATGAATATAAACTAGGTTACATAAACTTACATTCCAAAACAAACAATAAAATAGTACGAGCTATAAGGAAAAAATGATTATAACATAAGCTACCTGTCTCAAGTACATAACTTCATCACCAAGTTGAGGAATATAACGGTAACCCTCCTCATGCTCTGATAGCATCAGCCATGACAATTTTTTGACATGGTGATTCGACACTGTTCGAGTTAAAATACCAGGGTCATTGGCAATATATTCACCATGCCTGTTTCTAGCAGACCTAGTTCTTTGGTGAAGTTGATTGGACACTTTAATAGAAGAATCTTCCCGACTAGATGTGCCCCTGGAATTTTGGCCCATTCTAAATTTAATCCTTGTATTCAAAGCATTTGGCTCCTCAGAAGTTGTCTTCATCCTGGTGGATCGTGTTCGACGGATTGGATCACTTAAAACACCAGATAAACCAATTCCTAAATAGTGTTCATTGCTGAAAGTTGAAGTACTTTCTTCCTGATCACAACCAGAACCACCTGGATTGACTCCACCTTTATAAGACTTGTCCCTTTCATGGATGTGATGGTAACTATTCTGGTCAGGATCAAACTGCAGTAGCTGTGGAGAACTTAATTTTCTGTCATCTTCACCTTCTGGTACTTCCATAACTAGATTAGGCCCCATAAAAGAGGAACTTCCTAAGATTACATCATCTCTAGCATCTGTTGAATCTGCCTTAGAACTAACAAATTTCAGTTTGCAAGGACCTTCAATGTCTGCTGAAGTCTGTTTCTTTTTAATAACTAACTTAGTTGATTTCATAGGTGCTTTCATTTTGAGGTCGGGAGAGTGGCTTGAGTGAACAAGTTCATTGTTTCCCTGTGAGTCCTCTGCATATTTGTCAGATCCAGACCGGCCTTTATTACCACTATTCAACTTATCATAATCAGATGTCAAGGAGCCATCAGTATTTGGCTTATGATTGCCAAGCAAAGAATGTTTGGATTTAGGTGCACTATCAAGATATGCCAGCTCTGTATTAATCATGCTGCCCACAACCTCTAACTTGGTGGTCATATGTTCTGATCTCCTGCAAACATGGTGGGAAAAAAATTTGATTCTGAGCTTAAAGAGATTAACAAATAAAGAAAAGGAAGCAGTATATAAACATTTTTTAACATTAGTCACAGGCATTACATACCCATTGGGATTGTGTTCAAGATGGCCATCAACTTCAGTATCAGTCAACAAAGCATCCCCTGATCCTGAAAGTTCATATGTGTGTCTCTTCATCTGTCTGCACTGATCTGTGTTCTCCTCAACGCATATGGATGTGTCCAGATTATTTGTAGCATTTTCAGCTTGTGTTTTATCAGTATTTTCATTTCTGTTGTGGCTTTGAGAAAGTTTAGCATTTGCTGCAGCTCTAAAAGATAATGGTGGGTCCATAGAAATTCTGTCTGGCGAAGTTTGTCGAACACTTTCTGGGGGTTGGGATCTAGAAGACTGACATGCCATATTAGCCAGAGTCTCACATGCTAGTCTGGTGTCCTCTAAGGGCGCATTCTTCTTAGAATCACGAAGTGAAAACTTAACAACCAGTCTCCGTCTATTTTCATTATTTACCTGTGACTCAGAATAAGCAGGAGGCTTAGACACATTGGCAAAGTCTTGCAAAATGGGTCTTTTAAATTCATCATGCTTATTATGCAGTTTTCTCTCAGATTCACTGAGTTTGTCTGAATCTTGCAAACTATCTGATAATTCATCTTCCGAGTCACTATCTTCCCCATCAGTAGTTGTTTCACCAATTTGAGAGAACATATTACGAGCATTGTGTGCAGCAATTCTCTGGGGTCTCAATGGCTTAGCTTTGGAAGATTTCCTTTTTGATGACTTCAAGCTGCCTTTCGATTTCTTAGTTCTGTTACTTCCAGAAGTATTACCGTTACACTCATCCAAATTCCTTTTCCTAACACGCCTTCCAGAAGAAGTCATTACCTCAACCTGAAAAACATTATAGTCAGATGACAAGTTTTGATTAAATATTGATCCAACAAAAATGAAGACAAAACTTACTTCAATATTATGTTTTTTCCTTCTTGATCTTCGAAGGCCATCCCGATTACCAGAGTCATCTTCACTGCATTCTAGATCACTAGAAGAGATGGCACTAGGACTACCTTGCTCGGCTGCACTAGAATTATCCTCATTCACATTGTATTCAGAGTCAGCATCATCACTTATGATGTCATATTCTGGCTCCCAGAACATGGCATCTATCAATTCTGGTTGTGGCTCAACCATTCCTTCCAAATCTACCAAAGGTATCACCGGGTAGTCCTGACCAGCACTAAAATCTGGACCAACAGCATATTTTATCAAAGAAGGACGCCATTCAATGCCAAGAGCACCAAGCCGACGTTGCTGAAATTGACTTTGATATGGTTCTGGATATGGCACCATACCTGGTAATGAAATAATTTATGATAAGAAAAAATGGTATCCAAATAAGACAGCAAGAATTTCAGAATAAAAACCACAACATACTAGAATCACATAGAGGTTCCTGAATGTTTCTTCTGTGTGGTGGAAGTTGAGTCTCCTGCATCAGGTTTGACACAGGTTACCAAACATATTGAAAAGCCAACAAATAAAATTTAAATTTATCAATTTAATTATGATGGAAAAATCAACAAAGTACAGGGGCACAATGATTCCTCTCAACCTGATCAAGAACGTTTCCCTGAGTATCCTGAATAAGGGGTCGATAATCACCAAGAAAAAACTGCCAGAAATATAACGAGAGACAACCGTATAAATTAACTTGCTATGGAGCTGATACATATTAAAAAAAGGTAGGTTAAGCAATATTGCGAAATTTGACCACCTGATCATATTTTGCATCCTTTTGGGACTCGCCTTGACCTGTATTCAAGAAATATATTTGGCCAACATCATCTGAAAGCACAATTGATGTTCCATCCCTAAAATGAACACAACAATATAGTAATAGATTAGATTTTACACCGTCAGAGATCCTAATTCATCTAAGATGGATACAAGAAGACAAAATATCTGTGACATGGAACTCATCATCAGCTAGGAAGGTATAATAAAGCCTACAGAGTTTCCCCATCAAGACAAAGAGCAGCAGGCATAAACCCATAGCATGACATGAATGTTTTGAACCTATCAATATATACAAACTTCACAAGGGTAGCTCATTGTTGGGATGGATCTAAACAGCTACTATTGGTGACAAACTGACAATAAAGTAAGATATTTGTCGGTCAGATTTGATATAGAACAAAGGAAAAGCTAGTTATTATACATATGACATGATTCAGAATCATCCAACATACATTAAAGAGGGAGGAGGCAATTAAAGGTCCTAAAGAAAGTTAGACATAAAACCATTCATAAGACCTTACAAAAATAGCTTAAGCTTTAAGGTGAGTGAGTCCATAACATGGTATTAGAGCGACTATGATCAAGTGGTCAAGAGTTTAATTCTTACCACTCCTAATCTTCTAATTAAAAGTTGAATTTAGGCACAAGGTAGATACAAAACTTCAATATATGTTCTGTATTTAGGGATTAGTAGAATTGCTTTTAAATAATTGATTCAAAACGAAAAATTGAAGTTAAAAGGATTTATTTATGTTTGGGAAAAATATTTCAAAATTTATTTTAGAAGAATTAATTTTGTTTGGATAGTAAAGTAGAATCACTTTTGAGATGTAATTATTGGTGTATTTTTTGAAATTATCTCAATCCTACTTCTAGAATCAATTCTATTAATCTAAAAAGCAAGAAGATTTTACTTCTCAAAAAATCTATTTTTTTCAATGCAACTGTACTTCCAATTTTTTTTGAAATTATCTCAATCCTACTTCTAGAATCAATTCTATTAATCTAAAAAGCAAGAAAATTTTACTTCTCAAAAAATCTATTTTTTTCAATGCAACTGTACTTCCAAAGGCAATAAAAAAGTAACCAAGCATATTGGTTACTGTTGAACAGCATTAACAGCTTCAAGTAAGCCTGCATTGCCCACACTTCAAGTCCAAAGGCTTTTACATGAAGTGGCGTGTTAGATAAAAACCATTAATAATTATTTACCTAACAGCTTAAGCATACCTGCTTCACATGGACATCACATAAAGGGATTAGTACCTCTAAAGTTTTGAGCTATGTAATATCTTTACGTAAAAAGAATTAATATTTGACAGACACAAGTTCTAGACTTCTAGTAAGTCAGAGAAAGAAGAACACGGAAGACATTCATTACCAAGGAACAAATCCAAAATCTACTGAGAGGAAAAAAACAATAGACAATAAGCAAGCAACCAAAAAAAATCCAATAATAACAATTATTCTATAGATGCTTACGGAGAAAATTTCCCATCAACCAATCTAAAACGTCCAATTTCATATGTCGAAATAGGTATGCCCTCCCAAATCTGAAAAAAAGAACAGAGAAGCATAAATTCATTTTTGATTTGCGAAGAACATGCTAGCATTAAGATTTAAGAACCTGAAATAAAAGAAGCTTACATCCCACACAATGGTTCGTCCATCATACCCAGCACTCATAGCTATCCGAGGGTTGAAAGGATGAACATCCAAGACATAAGACTGCCAATTATTTAAAACTCAGCATTTATTCATGAAAGAACAAAAATTCAAACTGAGATAGAAAAAAAGATAAGAGGCTTAAACTGAACCCAATAAGAAAAGTATGACCGCATTAGAATTTTATTTTAGTCCAGAAAAAAGTTGAGCATGTTTATTAATCGAGCAAATTAGCATCATATGAAATAGGGAGAACACAAAGAAAAGGGGGAGGGCAGAGGGAGAGAGAAAGAGAGAGGATAGGGCATACAGATGCAGTATGACCAGTCAAAGAGTGCACTAAGCTGCCATCAACTGCATTCCAAACACAAATTCTGCAATCTTCAAGATGAAAAGACAAGTCCTCAGTTAAAGCATGCAAGAACCTTCTCTCTACCATGAAACAACTTGAATCGATTATCATAGAAGAGAAGGGGGTCACAAAGTTGTGAATGCATGCAATGTCAAATGAATAAAGATGTAGAGTATCATGACAATGCATTTTTTACTCCATATGGCAATACAATGTCAATTGCACAGTAAATAAGGATCCATATTGAGGCAATATAATGCATTGGGAATACAGTAACAGCAGCAATCAGTAGTACAAAGTTAGCAAAACATATAGATGCTCCCTGACAGATTTAGTCAATGGGAAAATCGATTTTGAAACAATGTATTAGATGAATTCAATCCTTTGAATGAACAATTCTATTTTGTCTTTCTAGTAAGTTATCATATGGAAGAGTTAGTAATTAACAGGTCATTGAAAAATCTACAACAAAATGGGTGATTTACTTCAAGAGAGATCCCCAAAGGATAAGGAACAAATAACATCAGAGAAACAAGAGACAATCAAATTGTAGAAATCAGAATACATATTTTCTGTACCACCTAGACTGATTTAAATAAAAGGTACCACAAATTTAATATGCAAGATAAGCATACAAAAAATAATAATAATAATATGTTGGTGTAAACTTTCCCGACCGGATATAGCTATTACTTTTAGTAAGTAAATTCATTACCCATAATAGCTGCAAGTACAAAGCGGTTGTCCAGGCTCCATACAATCATATTGACACCACGAGGAGTAGGTAGAAATCTCTGCCTTGGACCTCCTCGCGGAGGTTGGGGAGGCAGGGGTGGTGGTGGCACTTTTAGATGATACGCACGAGTCCAACGTCCTACTTTCCCCTAAAATAGCAATGGGAAACTAATACATATTTTGTACAGTAGGCATGAGGGGGAAAAAGTGAAACTGTACATGCCATAAAGATAAAATGGAGGAAATTGTCTACAGGATAAAATAGACCGCAGTTCAATGGTAATCTTATTTAAAGGAGCTCACATGAGATCTACGAGATCTGGGAACCCATATAATTGCACTTCCATCACGAGAGCACGTCACTATGTTATCATGACAAAACCTGAAAACACACAAATTATGACATCGATATGCAACATATTTTAGTAATGAGAGCAGGATAAACATATCATTAAATAAACACTAAACAAGTGTAGTTAAAAGAACCACAGGAAATAAGCATTAAGATATTTATTGACCAGAAATTTCTGAACTTCAGTGTATTTTCTTCTTTCCAAGAGTCAGATGTCAAAAATTTTGAAGCCACAGAGCAACCACTGCATACGGAGGTAGCAAACACAATAAGAATCTTTAGAAAATAAAAAATAAAACAAATAAGAGGATATAACCAGGACGGCTAACCTAAACTGTACATAATTAACATCATTCTCATGACCAGATAATAAATCCATCTCATGTATTGGTTGTTCTGAATCATCGGTGTTAGGCCTTAAAGCACTCCACACCTGCAAATAGCAGTGTTTTTCTCAAAAATCTGAATAGATAAAATATTTAAACAAGAAAAGGCCAATTGTATTTACAGAAGAAGAATAGGAGATATCTAAAGAGTACATCTGTAAGCATACCCTGGCAAAAGTATCAGAGCTACCAGTAACAAAAACAGTTCCGTTTGCATTATATGCACAGCAAAGTATTTGATAGCTTTGTTGAACATTACTTGAGGACGGTAAATTAGCTGGTGGAGCATTGCTCTTCCCTGCAAAACTTTATAATTACCTTAAACAATCCTATAATCAATGAAGAATAACCTAATAACAAAAAAGCAATTCTGGCAGTCAACAGGTCAAACGACTGATCTGGAAGGTTTAAGCAACAAACCATCAATATGTATGTCCAAACTTGCATAATAATATTCATTTAAAACATCATGTTTTAGAGTAAAATGATCTTTTATACTGGATTTAGACTTCAATAGATTCTAATTGATCAAACGTAAAAACCAAATATATTGTACCACCATATCAATTTGGTATGGTAATAATCCCAAACTCAGACTACTTCCAGATCCAGGCCTGATCTATTGACATTGACATAACTCGAAGCAATGATCTAACCAGTTATAGCATCTGAAGGTCGAGGCGTGTATACTCGTGGATTGAGTGAATTTCTTGCATCCCATATTCTACAAGTTCCATCATCTGATGACCTACACATCTCATAAGCCATAACAGTCAAGTAAAAAAGAAAGATATAAACCTGTGCTATGGGTCAATCAAAACAGTTTAAAGGATATGTTTAGTAAATTACTCCCACCTCGCTCCTGTTTTGTTGAAATTATAGATATTTAAGTAAGGAAGGAGCAAAAGTTAAAATAGAGACTGAATAAACTAAAATTGATATTCATTTAATATGATAAAAATATAAAGCACTCCCCTACTTACACCAATATTAGATTCCAAATCCTAATTAAATAAGGAAACAAATCATGAATATAATGAAATATGGAAACTACACCAAAGAGATCATCTAAGATACTTTAGAATATTCTAAGATATAATAATGATATTATGAAATATTTTCTAGATATTTTAACACTCACCCTCTAGCTAAAGCTTACTTAGCTTTAAGTTTGTTACAATTAAACACATTAAAACGAAATAAACTAAAAATACACACACGCAACGCAATGTCAGGTTGCAACATCTGGGATTAGAGATAGAGCCAAAGCATCTCGGACTCTAGATGGGGCTAGACTGTATTTGAGACTAATGATGAGACCGGACCACACCTGGGACTAAGAAAAGGTTGGTGTGAGTCATAGCCAATATAAGTCATCATCAGAATGATTAGCATTGGGGAAAAAGTCAACCCCTGTATGATTGTTATTCGACTGCATTGTTAGAAGATATTAGGATTAATAGTCTTATTAGTATTGGACTCGGGCTTGTACTAGTAGTACTAGTGCTTGACCAGATTAGTGGCATAAATAAGTACATCAGGTTATTGTATTTGAGTAACATCTTACTATCAATCTCATAATACATTGTTAGTTGTCAATCTCATAACACACCAATGTTAGTTGTCAATCTCATAACACCAGATTTGTTTTTATTATTATTACTTTTTAGGTTCTTTCCTTTGAAAACAAAGGGTTTACGTAAACAATAATTTTGTCAATCAAATCCTTTAAAAAAAGCTATCTCCAGATTCCAAAAAGTATAAAATAAGGTATACTAGGAATCTTGCATAACATTATTATTATTATTACTACTACTACTACTATGTTACCTGTCAAAGATATTTTATGTAAATTTTATAAAAAAGATTGATTTTATAAAACAGTCATCTAAATTTTATTATAAATTTAAGCTTCCATCAAATCACAAATAAGAATGAACTATGAGCATACTATATGTTTTTAAAAAGAAAAAAGACTTTAAGAATTAATGACATTAATATTAAACTGAACTAATTTGTAAAAGAATAACTCAATATTATTATAATTACGAAATATTCTTGTCACGAGATTGGTGGGGCTGAAAAAAAAAAACATACCTATACTCTTACAGACATTGGATGAGTGCAGAGTGATCAAATGGCATTCAATAAAGGAGCATGCTAAATTCACAATATAAGCATTTATTACAATACTAAAGCTTAGTTGTACAAGTATACCCAAAAAAAAAAAAAAAAACTCTTGTACAAATAAAAATTACTTAAAAGATTTTTGTACGACACATGACACTTGCAAAAATTTTAGGATTTAATTATATATGTACTGAACAGATTAGCAAATAGACATATGAGCCACAAGAATCACAAGGACAAAGTTTACAAAGGCAACAATTGGGAGCAGTAACTCTTAAAATGAACTTACGATAGTAGCTGGTATACAGCATTGGGCCTGGGACTAAATGCAATGGTATTAACAGCTCCAGTATGTCCCCGCAAAACTGATATTGGCATCCCATCTGGTAAACGCCACTGTTGTAATGCAAATATTAATTTAGTTGCCATGGATGACAAGACAGAACATAAAAATTAATGTATACTACTTACAACTCGAATGACAAAATCATTGGAAGCAGATGCCACCAAAGCATTGTTTGAGCTTACAGCCAAATCAGTAATATCGCCCTTCAATTTATAGAATGACAAAAGAAGAACAAATTATATTAAAAGAAAGACAAACATATCAAAGTTACTTCCATAAACCATACTCTTAACTCACTTCGTGTCCACGGCAACTAGCTAAGCAAAATGCAGTTTCCATAGACCAAATCTTGACAAGACGATCATCTGAACCACTGATAACATATCTCCCTGATCCATCAAATATGGCTGCAAGATAAAATTACTTATTTAAAATTTATTGACGATGAGTTCAGTTATTAAAATAACTACTTATATGCATCTAAGTGCAAATTATTATGAAATCAATGTTTAACTTCAGAAGGAAACTCAGAGAATAAAAACCAACACTTATCATGAAAAAGCAATGGAATCAACTTTTATACTCACATCTAATTAATGATTTTCATGAGAATAAATGAACATGATCTAATAAATGGCATGCCCATAAAGCAACCATATTGGTAGCTAGCAAGTTTAGCAGAAGAGTAAGTCATACCACAATAGACAGCCACACGGTGCCCCCTTAGCTTTTTAATATTTTGCATCTTTTGCACCAAAGTAGATGGTTTGGCAATAGCATAACATGCACTGCGAATAGATGGAGCACGATGGTGCTTTGTAAAACCACCTCCAATCTCCCTCAAACTTAGCCCCTGAACCTGATTAGCCTTCATATGTGGCCAACGCAGGTAAAGTGGAGGTGGCTTAACCTGCTTGTCAGCCGTTTTTCTATCAACTGTACAAACACAAGGATTAAAATAAATTAATTAGACATCAAACATACCATTATTCTACATATATATTCCCTGGTTAATGCAGGGAACAGGGCCAACTAAAGCAATTGCCAGAAATATTTAAATGCAAATTTGCCAATAGAAGCTTCATATCAGTACTACATGTAAAAAAAGGCACGACCAGGACAACTATCCGATCCAGTATTTAAAACATTAAGAATCTCGGACCTTTCCCCTTTTATACATGCTCATTACTACCAGCCACACAATGATTAAATTATATATGCCCCAGAACCAGTCTGACTGGACTGGCCAACGATAATCATTGTAAACTCTGTATTCTATGAAGCTTCATATCAGTACTACATGTGTAAAAGGTAAGACCAGGAAAACTATCTGATCCAGTATTTAAAAATAAAGAATATTGGACCTTTCCCCTTTCATTCATGCTCATTACTAAATGCCACACAACGATTAAATTATATATGCCCCAGAACCAGTCCAACTGTACTGGCCAAAGATAATCATTGTAAACTCCGTATTCTATGAAGTAAATATAATTTTGAGTAGTTCATACACTCAATTATCAATTCTTACCAAAGCAGAAACTGAAACAGGGTTTGAAATATCCATCCCAAACCTAGTAACTTACAGCTAGCCCTAACATATTACTACATCCCTCTGAACATTCCGAACAAGAAAAGAAAATCATTAATAGATTTATAAAAATCACTAATTCGCTGCATTAATATAATAGCCTAAGATTGCAGACATTATTTCAGTGTATCTTAAGATAAAATCTTTAAATCTTAGCTAGAATGATCAACTAGAGAAAGAAGATTACAATAGCATATCACGTACTATCAAGAAGCGAAAATGAACCGTATCCAAGTAAAGTAGGAACATCAGCTGCATTAGGACTACTTCCTCCTTGTTTTCCATGCAAAGGATGGGCCACACTTAGCATTAATTGCTTCAGAAGCTTTACCAAGTGATCCTTAGCTATGTGAGGATACCTTGTAGTTACACAAAATGACCCATAATCAGTGCCCATACGTGTAATATCAAGAAGCAGCCATTACTAACTTCAGAAAAGTTTTTAAAACCAAATAACAACTATTTGGATTAAAATATGAAGCGTCCTCCATTTCCTTGTAATCTCTAAATGGAGATACCTCTAACAATAGCAATCACACTCTTTCATAAGTTTCTTTTCCATTTTTTATTTAAAAAATAAAAAACATTTCCAATACTAAACTCCAAATAAATAAAAAGAATCGCCACTAAATGCTTAAATAACAAGAAATTTTCATGCACGCTGGCATTGACTACGGACTACAACTACCCTCTTCTAAATGTTAGTCACTTATATGAACCAAAAATACCTGTCCATTAAATTGTTGTAATTTAAAGGTAAAGAGACGCCATCATTGTCGTCAACATCATCCCCACTGGGCTCACCACTTCTAGAAAACCAAGCATGATATCTTCTAGGTAGAAGCTGATGCTCTAAAAGTTCATTCCTGAACTGTACAAAAGTTCTCTGGCATGGCCCGGCAGACAAAAAGTGTAGGATTAAAAAGTAAACTTCCCTGAGCTCTATATCCACATCAGTTTCAACAGCTCCCATATTCTTGACGGACCTAGCCATCTCACCCATCTGATTTGAAACACTCAAAGGCGCAACACTAAGGGAAGATGCACCACCAGAAGGTTTGCACTTCCGCGAATCCATGTTTGGGAAACAGCCTACAGCAAAAGAACAAACTACTACAGTACATAAAAAGTACTGATATGCTACAAATTCAAAAGCAGCCCCTACATTCTTTCCAAGTACATCTGCATTACATAGTGCATCACATGACACAGCACAAGCCATAATTACTCTGGATTTCGTAAGAAAAAGTAACATCCATTTTCAATCTCGATTCCATTAAATTCAAAAGAAGTTCCCTGGTTTTTGTTTTTGTGCATGCATGGCAATTGAGAGATTGACAGATTGTGGCAAAACCTAAATGGGGTTAGGTTAGTTCAATTTTGAACATTAAGAACAAGCAAGGATCTCTACAAGAGAAATCAAACTCGGAAGCTGCAACGCAACGATGCTTCATAATTAGGAGAACAATTAATAAAAGCAGAACGAAACAGTTCAAACAGAATAAAACAAAGTAACAGAAAATGAAAACGGAAAAAAAAAAAACCGAAAGGGGAGAGGACAACAGGGAAAAACCTCTAAAATAGTTCACGTTGAAGATAGTGGAGCAGCTACAATTATGGCTTTCACTTCGAAGTCACCAAAGTCCATTCGAAAAGCCACATGAAGATTTAAGAAAGAATAAGACGCCGAATCCGAAACAGAAAGCTGTATTCAAATGCAATGAACAATGTTTTTCAAGATAGGGTTCGGGCGTAGAAAATCCAATTGTAAATACAGTTGCCGAAAAAGCAAATCTCAGAACTGCAGAAAATTATTTGGGTTTTCATTACTAACCTTTTCTGTTTCGATGCGTTTGGAATTGGGTAAGGAAAAGATTAATAGGGTTCTGCACTTATATAGGAAAAAAGAAAATTACAGTATAATTCTTTAATTGCAATTTGGTCTCTTGACGGAGGAGCCGGAATTTTGCCCTGTTTCTTTGGTGTCCAGGACGGAGCCAGAGAGCGAGGTAGAGGACGAAATTGGAAAATTATTATTTAAAAATTATTTATTTCAGCGAAATATGTTCGACTTGGAAAAATAATAATAATAATAATTGAATTGTTGCGTTTTGCAAAAGCTAGAACAAAAAGGGGAAGGACTCGACACGTTAATTTTTAAAAATGTCATACTTTGATATGTTGGGATATGTTTTAATATTAAATAAAAAATTTAATATATATACTATAATTTATATTTAATACATATAAGAGTCCATAATAAGTCATATAATCAATCAAATATTTAAATTTCATAACATAAATATAAATAAAAATAATTTTTCGTACTTTGTTAATTTTTCATGTCAAAATTCATAATAGAAAAAAATTAATTTATAAATTATTTTTTACATTTAGTTAATAAATAAAAGGGAAAAGTGTTTGTCATATTAAATGACAGAAAGTTATGTCATTTTAAGAGAGATACAGACACAGAAAATTTGAATTTTAAATTAAAAAAAACCACTCACTTTCTCTCTCCAATGATTTCCGTTTTTTTTGTATCTCTCTTTAAATGACATAACTTATGTCATTTAAAATGACAAACACCAAACCCTAAATAAAATTAAGATTAAAAAAAATAACGTGTCCGAGCATGTCCGAGCGTTGACCGCGTGTCGGAAAAAATTGACTGTATGTCGGAAAAACGTGTCGGAGAGTTGACCGCGTGTCTCCAAATGTTGACCGCGTGTCGGAGCGTGTTCGTTGTGTGTCCGTGCTTGCTTGATTGTAACAATCAAGTTGTGTTACTACCAATCAATCTCACAGTTAGATCAATTATGTTGATCAAACGGTTATATTTATTTTCATCTTTGTATAGTCATGATTCCCCAAATTTAATATTTTATATTTATTTCCATCTTTGTATGGTTATGATTTCTCATATTTAATGCTTTCACTTTAAATATGGGGAATCATAACCATACAAAAAACGAAATAAATATAACCGTTGAATCAACATAATCGATCTAACGGTGAGATTGATTGGTAGTAACATGGTAATTGTAATACCCCATATTTTTATTAACTTTAATCTTATGTTTTTTTTAGTTAATTTGAGGAGTTCAAACTTTTAAGTTTCGAGGACGAAACTTCTTTTAAGGAGGGTAGAATGTAATACCCCATATTTTTATTAATAAAATAATAATAATAATAAACTATAAATTAGTAGTAATAATATATATATATTTATTTATTTTTATTGGAAAAGTAATTTTGATACTTTGTAATACTCTAGGTTATTAATAATAAAATAATATTAATATATGTGTGTGTGTGTATATATATATATTAGATGATAAATTATGATTAATTGATTTATTAACTGATTGATGATTTATGTATTTATGTTTGATTAGTAATGATTGATTAGTAATTTGTTTAGATATGATGAGTCAACAAACATAAATTGTTTAGATATGATGAGTCAGCATTGAGTCAGTAATGTGTAAGCCCTAAACTTCAACTATAAATAGAGGTCTAGCCTAACCAAACCAATTCGCTCTTCAACATTTCTCTTTTACTATTCTCTCTTCTTAGTTCAGAAACTTAGTTTATTTTATTTTATATTCTTCTGATTACCAACCGGTTCTCTGTCCCAAATTACTCTTTTCTTCTAGAAGTTAGCGAAAACGGAGACCTAGGTGGTTGTATGTTTGTAGATTCGTTGTGTATGAAATTTTATTGTGTGTATCCTAATCTTTAGGTAGTTGTATGTTTGATATGTGTAATCTTAATCCTTAGGTTATAATTTTGTTTGAAGTTTATTAATAGTAATCTTAATCCCTAGAGAGTCATAGATTATATTGATATGAATTTTGGTATATGTAATCCTATTCGTAGGTTATTTCTTTTATATAAAACTTGATGTAATCCTAATCCCTAGGTGTTTAGGTTATCTCTATTATATGAAATTTGGGTATAATCCTTATATGTAATTTGAATATTTATAACTATGATAAATGATGTGATGGGATTATTTGAATGACGATGATTGGATTTGAATTTTTCTACGATGAATGTTGAAGATTTGAATTATTATATCCTTGAATAAATTGGAAAGTTATGATGAGGATCGGATTTGTATTTTACTGTTATGAATGTTGAAGATTTGAATTATCATATCCTTGAATAAATTGGAAAGTTATGATGATGATCGGATTTGGATTTTACTACGATGAATGTTGAAGATTTGAATTGTTATATAAATTCAAAAATTTATGATAATAGTTGTTTGAATTATGATACTTTGGAAAATTATAATGCCCTTGAGTAACTCATTTAGAGATGATAATACTTAAAGAATAAATAATTATGATTGAATCTTTCCAGATTGTGTGTGTTTGTAATAAATTAATGGTGGGAGGATAGCTTTGGGATGGTACCTCCCAAGGTGATGAACACAACTTTTGGGCTTTATGCCTCCGATGTGAAAAAGATTGTATCTGTTCTTCCCAAAGTGGTGTCTGGCAGGGTTTCCCGGGATACTAGTAGCAACTTTGGGAAGAGGTGTGCACACTAGGAAGATGTGAATTGATTATGGCCAATGTGATTTGTTTGTGACTGGCAGGGTTTCCCGGGTCACAGGGTAGACTGGCAAGGTTTTCCGGGTCTACCATGGTTCTCTTCCCACTAAGTACAATGAACTTAAACATGATTAATAATGAAATGTTATTTGATTTGATTATGATGAATGTCATTGAGTTGTGAATATTACCATTTATGTAATATTATGATTAATGTTGTGCTGAATATGTTAGTTGATAAATTACCCTTACTAAATACAATAAATGGACTAAATAAAGATTAATATAATTAATAACGAGTTGATACTTGATTTGAATTTTTGAGTTATATTACTTGATTTAATTATTATGAGTTCTATTTATTTATTTTTGTATTTTGATTGGGATTACTAGCTTTGCTGACTTTTGTGTTTGTTGACTGCAATGATCCTGCGGCTGCGGGGGAGCAGATTTTCAGTAAATCAGGTTGCAAGGATGGGGCTAGCTGTGGGCAGTGAGGATCACGACTCAGATATTTCTAGCTAGTTCCTAATTTTAGAAATTTTATGAGATTTAAATGCATAAGACATATTTCCTTTATTTAAAATTTAGTCTTTGGTTTTATTTTAATGTAATAAATTTAGCCTTGCACCTGTCCATTGTACAGGTGCGGCGGTAACATTCCCCAAATTAGATTTAGATTAGCTTCCGCAATATTTCTATTATTATAATTGTAAAAAAAAAAATGAATTTTGACAATTTATTTATTATAAGATTGTTTTATAAATTGTTAGAAATTTAGGGTGTTACAATAATAACACAACTTAACAAAAATTGAATTGGGCATTACGGGATTAGATGAAGCTTCTACGTGTAATAACAAATGTACGACTACTCGGAAATATTGTACTTCTTATCCTAGCAAATTTTTTAAAATTTAACAATATTATTAAGGATTTTATAAAAGTTATGTTGTAGGAAAAGTCATTGTGTTATGTTATAGAGATTTGTTTTGAGTATCGTAGTTTTTTTTTTTAGGTTTCAAAAGATGCGGGCCCCATAAAATGTTGTGTGTGTAAGAAATTTTTTGTGGTCATGTTACATGATGAATGCAAACCCCTATTATTAAATTAAAGAAATATACATCTTTTAATTAAGGGCACCATAAAAAAGTATACTTTTTTAATTGTTAAAAGTATTAGATAATAAATAAGACAAATATCTAAATTTGTTAACTATTAATTTAAGTTATAAAATTGAAATAGGATAATCACTACCAATTTATTTTATGGTTGGATCGATTATGATCTAACAGTTCTGATTTAACTTTTTAAAAACCTTCTTTCTTCTTCCCATATTTAATGTTATATTTATTTTCATCTTTATATGGTTATAATTTCTCATATTTAATGCTTTCACATTAAATATGGGAAATCATAATCATACAAAGATGAAAATAAATATCACCTTTGGTCTAACATAATCAATCTAATACTAAAACAAACTGATAACTGATAGTGACATTGGCATTGGTAGTAATACGAATTGGTAATAATAATAGGGACAGGATATACTTACCACAAAAAAAGTTTACCACTTTTACAATCAACCTAATCACCGTTGATTTCCGTCAATCTAACGGTTATAATTTATTGAATTATTAAAAATTAATTATTTAATAAATACAACCCAATAATTTCCAACAAATTATAACTGTTAGATTGACAGAAATCAACTGTAATTAGATTGGTTATAAAGGTGATAAATTTTTTTTATGGTAAGTATATCCTTTCCCATAATAATATCCTATCTCTATAAAATTTTATCAAAAAATTAATATTTAATCTTGTACATTAATCTGAAAACAGCCGGTAATACAATAATTATCAATGAATCATTTATGATCTACTATTTTATTTATATTGTGCATCAAAGTAGAGAATTAAAATCCCGTACTCTCAGCCGGTGTAATACTTGACATTTTCTGATAGGTTAGATTAGTCTTTACATGCTAGATGGCTAGGTGGATACCCAAGTCAATCTCTATTTTTTTTTTTTGATAAATTAGTCAATCTCTATTTCACTCCCTTGTTATGTGAGCTACTAAATCTCAACTCAAAAGAAAACGAGCAAGGCAATTTTTTTCTTTCTAAAACCTCTTTGTGGTTCAAAAATTAATAAGTGCACAAAAGAATTTGATCTATAAGTCGAAGTTATTAATAGGTTGCATTTGATCTAAAGGAATTATTGTTCCTCAGAACACGAGATAATATTATTTCCATTATAAGGAATAACATGATTTTATATACAAAAGTAATAGAGAAATTTCTTGACTTTTTGACTCTTTTATCCTTCATTAATTAATTAATAATTATTTTGTCCCTCATTCAAAACTATCTATCAATCTGCCCCTCTTTAATCGATTAACTTGAAAATTTAATCGATTAAATAGTCAAAACTGACAAAAATAATTAACTTGAAAATTTAATTGATTAAATCTTCAACTTAATCCATTAAATCTATCCGCAATACAACCATCTGCACAATTTGCAGCTCTTACATCATTCATAAAACAGACTTCAACAGGGGGCAAAACAAAAAATTTGTTTGGACTTCTAAAGCAGAGGCTGTGATCTAGGTGGGTATGGTGGACCTAGTGAGAGTTATGGAGCATATAGTGGTGGTGCCGGTGGCGGGGGTTCTTCTTCTGGTGGTGGTGGTGCCTATCAAAGTGGCTATGATGCCAGTTTCGGAGGTGGATATGGAGGGGCTAGTGGAGGCTCCTTCTATGGCAGCAGAGGAGGATATGGTGTTGCCGGTTGATATCATCCTTATGGAAGATAGAAGCTTGTAAACCAAGCATTTTTAGTCTAGGACTAATATATCTAGCATCAAAGCAAGTTTGTAGTTTGTGTTTGCTTCTTCAGTATGTTACATATTCTCATTTTTTTTAAAAAAGAATTGTTAAGGATACTTTTATTTGTCATAACATCGTTTTTCAGCTTTAGAAGTCCAAACAAATTTTTTGTTTTGCCCCTGTTGAAGTCTGTTTTATGAATGATGTAAGAGCTGCAAATTGTGCAGATGGTTGTATTCTGGGGAGATTTAATCAATTAAGTTGAAGATTTAATCGATTAAATCTTCAAGTCAACTATTTTTGCCAGTTTTGACCATTTAATCGATTAAATCTTCAAGTTAATCAATTAAAGAGGGGCAGATTAGTAGATAATTTTGAATAAGGGGCAAAATGGTTATTAATTAATTAATGAAGGATAAAAGGGCCAAAAAGCCGAAATTTCTTTCTCCTCATCTTTTTCCATTTTCTTTATTTTGAGTTCGAGCTTTGTTTTCTTTCTTTTCAGTTGAGTATAACTTATATTTTGCATATTGATGAGGATTCTTGTTGGCTTGAGTCCATGAATAACTGTTGTTAGAGTTTTCTAAATCCTATTTATATTCCCTTATAAACTGAGTAACTTGTAATGTAGTTGGACGTAGCTTATTTATATTAGACCCGTGTCTAGTCATCTCATCTCATGCAATCTCGTTAGCTTGGCATACGGCACTGTAGTCCCGTCATATAGTCCTATGAGACTCTCAATCCCCACACAATGTACAATGTTCAATGAAGAAGCATAAGTTGATAGATACTTTGTTTTGCTTCATCTGTTCGTTCCTACCCACTATCTGACGAGACTAGCCCCGTAAGGAAATTGACGGGACTGTAGTGCCGTATGCCAAGCTGATAGGACTACATGAGACGAGCTAACGTGGGCACTGATCCCGTAATGAATCCATACGGGACTGCTCACGTACTTGCCACCTACGAGTTTGACTACATTAATATGGCAAAACATATCAAACGTGCTCTGATTGGGAAAAACTTTTACCAAATGTTCTTATTATAGTGCTTTTGCTTGACATTAGAGATGGACAATTTATTGATGTGGAAATCAGTGATGAATATAATATGACGTGTGTGATAAATGCATTTATGAGTCGGTCTCAAAAGATTAATTGAGTTGTATGTGGAAGTAGACTCTGGTAAGTCCTCTTTGCGTGAGCCGTCAATGGATCTGATTTAATCAATAGTACAATAGGGAATTATGTTTTGATAATGAAAATAAGAATGTATTCTCACCTAGACCTAGACCTTCACCTCCACCTCCACCATTTTTAAGTCAAATCACATTTGGAAAGAAAAAGTGAATCATATGTGGGTTGTGGACAGTGATGAGGATAAAGTATATAAATTACAATTCTGGATAATGACTCATCGAATACCAACACAAAAGGTGATTTTAATGTTGATCTATGTCCGCCTAATGAGGTAGTGCTCCTAGTTATCACCACCCTTACCACTTATCAATTGATGATCCTGGGCCATGTGGGAAGAAAAAATGATCATGCTAGCAAAGCCAACAGGACTTTTTTTTTTTAAGATATTCCAATCGGTTCATCGCTTCGCAACTAGTCTGATTCGGGGTGGGTACCGGGATTAAGGCTTTAAGCCCATCCCAAAGATAGTACTAGGGAAGATCGAACGCATGCTCTCACCCTATCTGCTCAGCTCCCTGGCGCCAGTGGGATTTTGATGTGGCATTGTGGGGAAATTTTCCCACCCTGTGGCATGTCACCATTGCTTAAGTACAAAGATATGTGTGTAGTGCGAACTGGCCTTGGGCTCAATCTATTATGATGAGACGAAGGAATTTGAGACCATTCTCGACGATAACGAGATCAAGATTGAGACTATGCTCGAATATCAATATATACATTTGAATCTAATTAAAATATTATGAGCTAAGCCACTAGATTTGGTCTAGAGATGAAAGACTTAAATAATTTGTATTAGAATATGTATTTAATTTCCACTTGTATCAACAACAACAAAAAATGTCAAAAGCTGATTGCAGATTTGTAATATTATTGAGACATAACCATCATGCTAAGGGGCGGACCCAAGTGAGGGGCCAAGGTTGACAACTGCCCTCCCTAAACCTTTTTTTTTTTTTTAATTACTCTAGGTATAATATATTTTTATAATAATAATAATAAACTATTAATCTTAATAGTTATTCTCTCCCTAAATTAAAAAAAGAAAACCCTATCTTCCAACCCAACCACATAGCTCTCGTGGGAAAAAAAATAAAATAAAATCATATTATAAGTACTTTTATTTATAATATAATATCTTTTATTTTCTTCCCATCATAAAAAAATTCCAGAGTACGGCACTAATTCATGCATGGATAGAAATGAGCTCTCGAGTTATGAATGGATATAACTTTCTCGAGTTTCAATACTTCTACAAATAACAATACGGTAATGTGACATGTTACAAGAGATTTACAAAGTGAACAAACAGGAAACAAGTTGACTATCAACTGCCAAAACCATAACTAATTCTAGAGAGATGACAAATACAACAAACACATCCTTCTCTTCAGCTCTTCTTTATATACTCAATATTGAATATACATATTAAAACACATACAAGGAAATTACGGTTTCTAGAGAAGATATGAAAAGTCGACATGATCAATATAGCCTCTACACCCACAAAATGTTTAAGAAGAGATTGTGTTTTGTTCCCGGGTTTTAGCCAACTTTGCTTGTATAAGTTTGTCCAGTATGGGAGGCTCCAATGGAATTGGATCAAGGCACCGCTCAGCAGTAGCAACAATTACCTGTGAAAAAAAATACAAAAATCAAATACGCATAGAGAACATAGGGAGAAGCTAGGGTCGAGGTATGAGTTTACAACAAAAAATCAGTAAAACTAAAGGTAATATACTCATGGGAAATAAAAGTATAACACCAATATGCAAAATGAGAACCCAAAGTAAGACTTTTTCCAACCTCATCAAGCAAGAAGTCGATTGCAGCTTCATCTTCAACTATTTCCCTTAAAGGGATCCTTAGGAACTGGATATCCAATTGAATTTGCTGGAATCCACTCCGGTTAAAAGTCTGGAGTCGGACAAATTCTTGTAAACTTTTAAGGCACAATTTAACTGTAGTTGTAACAACAGACTCCTGTAGTATTTAAGCAAAAATGATATCATGGCCCCCAGCCAATTTAACATCGTCACATTATTTCCAAACTAGTTGGGATCCGCAATCAATGAAATCATATAAAAGCAAGTACGGCTTGCAACCAATTAATTAAATTTGAATCACCAATATTATCGCTCAATACCTGTGTATATTCTACTTTTGTGAAAATTTCAACTTTTTGCTTGAACAATTTTGCTAGATGTGTTTCCAAAAGCTGGCTTCTTGCCCTTTGAGTATTTGACCTAACCATTTTCTCCTCCCGCAAGGGGTTGCTCCTTGATGAAGCACTACTTCCATTACTGTCAGTCCTGCGGTGCTTGCGTATACCTTGAGGCAAAATCTGCTTCACTTCATTGACAATAACTTCAAGCTGGAACAGAAAGAGAGTAAAAATTCTCCTCCATTTTGCTTCAATTAATTACAATACATGTTCATGGAATAAAGACATATAACGCTTCATGCTCATTCAGTTATTCCAAATAAGTAAGATTTAGTAAGACTGATATTCAATTACAATACCATTCAAAGCAACTTAAAAGACATAGAAAACAGAGTAATTAATTTAAAAATACAGATATACCAACCTCTTGAAGAAATAAATCAACAAACATATGAACTTCTCTTGGCTCCTTATGCTGTGCAAAGCAAAGAAAAAATTTCAGATTCAAGTTCTTAAAAGATGCTTAACAGTTTTTTTTTTTTTTGGAAAAAAAAAGGGGGCATTTACAGACTGACCTTAACCCAATTAGGTGTGGCAAACCTCTTCTTCAGGAGAAGTGATATTCTCTGAGTTTTCATATTTATGTACTGAAAAGAATGAAACAGGACATGTAAAAGCTGCTTTAACTTGAAGATAATTTTTTAAAAGATTAATATTTCTCATGTTGTAGGAGATAAATTTATCTCCTACACACACATAAAAGTATATGGGGTCCCTGTGGGGTCATGTGAAGGGAAAAGAGAGAAAAAGAAAACATTGGCCCCATACACTTTTATGTGTATGTAGGAGATAATTTTAACCCCATTTTTTAATGATGAAGACATAAAAAAGGTACGAAGAATAAATAGAGATTAAATATCCTCCAAAACAAATACAAATATTATCTGGCAAAACATTGTAAAATCAAGCTGGAAAACACCAAGCAGGCTCGTAGGAATTATCTAAGGAATAGAAGAATAAGAATGAGGAAGGGAGTGAAATGAAGACAAAGATAATATACAGTCAGTGTCTCAATACAAATTGCAATTCCATTGAAAAGAAAATATGAACTTGAAAACATACCAGGTGCAAGAATTTTTCACCAGCTGACCGAAATTTTCGACAGATTTCTCCAGGAACAAAGGCAGGTCCAGATTCATAGCCTCTAACACTACCACCAGAAAAGGAAGCAGCTATCTCCTGAAGATTACAAGGAAAATTTTAAGGTGTACCGTGAGGATATGGAAGGAAATCTAACCACCGAAATTGATCCATTTTCAGGAATCAAATCTAAACCCATTAAGGGATCCTTGCCTCAGTGATTTTTGGGATGACAGTTTGTTCAATAAAAGCAGACAATTGAGCCAGCACTAGGACAAGGCCAATAAAAGCTTTGTCACCTTGAGCTCCCTCTGCCAAACCATGTACTAGAATAGCTGCAGAATTATTTCTTCTTGAAAACAGAATGAACTGATCCTCAAGTTGCCTAAAAAAGTCTTGAAATCCTCCTTGAACCCAGTCAATGATCAACTCTCTTAGTCTAACTAGGATCCCAGAGTCATTATCCAAAATTTTGCGGAAGTCCTGAAGGAGACAGATAAAATGTAAATGAAACAACATAAAACAGAAATAACAGAAATCTTAAAAATGGTATTACAAGTATACATAATTACATATACCCTTATACAGATGAGTTTAAGCAGACAAATGTGCTTACCAGCAAAACGTTCATGCCTCCTTGGAGAACTGCTTTTGTGCTAGCTTCAAGAGCAACTTCGAGTGAGTACTGCTCTGCTCCATCCTTTTTCAGGACCTTTAAGAGGGAATCTACCAAACAGAAGCTAACTCAGAGCAAAGGTATGAAAACAACTTTCTATTAAATTTTTCCACTAGATCAAATTTTGTGAATATATATTAAACATCGAGTTATGTTGACAAGCAAGGATCAGCGGCAACATAATTTACAGCATTGTACGCTTTTGATTAAAAAACAAGCAGTCACCTTGTGGCAAACCAACAAACTGAGATTTTTAATTTCCTGATTCTCCTATAGTGTGGCAGAGTAAATATTTCAAACCTTCAAGCTGAAACTTAATATAAATTTTCTGAATACAAGTCATAGAACTGACCTGAGATATCTTGCAGAAGATGAGAAAATGCACTTCTAACATACAAGGTGACAACAACCTTGGCAGCCTGGAAATATTTATGGTTAATTGATGAAAATCTATTTCTAAAACATGAACTTCATAATGACTATATACTGAAAAATAAAGGGAGAAGGGGGACTTGAAAAGCTACAACTTATATCAGAATCAAATTTGAGAAATAACTTTGATGGATAACCTCAAGAGAATGGTCAGATAGAGCTGCTTCCGGCAAGACTTCATCTATGAGGAGTACATCATTCCAGATAACTCCTGTAATTACTCATTTAAAGAAACCATAGTCAAGTCACAAAAGAATGAAATTGATTTAACGATTAAAATAATATGCATATAGAAGAGTTATAAGTTCAAGAAAAAAAATGGCTTGGACACAAATATATTGAAAATTGCACATGGATAACAGTAAAAAGAACAATTGATAAAAGAAAGTAAATTTTTTCATTTTATTGAACAAGGCAAATGAAACTTAGCTTTTCCCTTTGCCATCACAATATCAGAAGATAAATCTTCATTTTGCCTTGGAAAACTGGCAGTTTGATAAATTGTTGCCAAGATGTACAAAAGCAAGTGCAGTCATTAACATTTTAAAAATATTTCATGAAAACACATTTGTGTTAGTGATTAAATAGTGGTTTCAATGCATTAAATTTATAAATTATAGAAGAAAACTCTTTTAATTTATCATATATGGCACAACATCTATAAGATGCATATATAGCTGCAGAAAAAACGGAGATAATGATAAGCATCTTCTTATGGTTGTAATAAGCATCCAAGAGACATGATTAATACTGAATTGCAATAGAAGATATCAAGAAAGACAAAACAGAACCGAATGGATGCATACAGTCAGCACTTAGAGAAGAAAGGTTTTAAAGCAATTCCCAGAGAAGAAAGGTTTTGTGTACATTCACAAAAAGTAAGAAACAGAACAGGATCACTCGATGATTAAAAAAAAAATAAACTTCCATTTTTTTTAAAAAAAAATACTCCCCGTTAAACCCAGACTAGAGAGGGTAGGGGTGACGGCAATCCTTGTATGCAGCCTTACCCTTGGATATACATATATAAAAAAAAGGACAAGAAAATGCCATAATTCATATAAAAAATAAATATTATATAACAGACATAGGAGTCAAAGGTCGTTGGCTCATATACTCAAGGTGAGACTAAAAGTAAAAAGCCATCAGGCTTTATAAATCAAGTGCATGTCCAGAAACTGGAAAAACACTGAAGTAACAGCAAAGTCATACTACTTACCAAGAACACCAATTAGATCTCCTGGGAAAATCCGTGTCTTCACATATTCCTCGGTAATAACAAAGTTCCTAGCAAACATTAAAGAAGTGCACATATTATGAAAACTTTATGTACAGTAAAAAAAAAAAGCATCCTATTGTACATAAAGATACTAACTTAGTAACCAAGTCTTGAGCAAGTTTAACCAATTGCCCTTCTGAATCAGGGAATATTACTCGAAAAGCACGAACTGCCTCCACAAATTCATGAATGGCTTCCTATGTTAAGAAATGGGAACAGAAACAGATGCTAATTCATTAGTCTCATAACCTCGGATACCAAAGAAAATATATGTACTAGTGACAGTAAATTAGGCTAAATAGCAGAACAAAACAAATAAACAAAATTTTAAATTGAACTGGAACAGTCATCTTACAATAATAAATATTCCATTCATCAATTCTCTAGGCAGATAATTTGACATATTAATCATGGATACTGAATCAACCATCACTCTAATCGTTACTCTCTTCTTTATTTTCTGGTTATTAGCCAAGTCAACATATTCCTTTCCATCACATGAACCTCAACAGTTTTAGAGCTACATATATAAATGAATCTTCTCAAACAGTGCAACAATCTATCTTCTATAAGAATGCACCACCTAAGATAGGCATCTCACAAAGTACTGATCAGTGTCGCATATTACTTACAGAATCATTTATATCTTGCTTGAAACGGAGTTTGAAGATACACATGTAACAATAATGTGGTCTCTTGCTAACATCTTAAGCTATGAAGCACCGACACTTCAAAAACTCTGACGTGTCGTGTCCGACATTTCTCGACACTCCCCGACACTCTAACACGCGTTATAGAAATTCAAAAAAAGATCCAAAGGTTGCGTTGCGTTGAGTTTTTAGTTTCAACTGGTAGATTCGTTGGATTACGATTACCATTTTATTGAGTTTAATATAAATATTTGGGATATCTTATGTTTCTTTGCAAAATTGATGAATATTATAAGTTTAGTTTCATTTTTTTGTTAAATTATTGAATATCAAATATAATATCCACTACATAAATTAAAAATATTATTTAATATCAAAACGTATCCTAACGTGTTGAAATCTAATATTTTTTAGAATTAATGTGTCGGAGTATCGTGTCGTGTCGTGTCACGTGTCACGTGTCCCGTGTCCCGTGCGGTGCTACATAGATCTTAAGTATTCAAAATTAGGATAGTAATACCAGAGAGGGAGGAGGACATCAAACAAAAGGATACTACTCTGCCACTAGTTACCTCATGAGCAGAAGCTAAAGGAGAAAGGTCCATTGAAGCATTGTTATTTTCTTCAGGGTTCAGCTGAATGTCTGCGATAGATTGTTCTAATTTCTCAAGTAACTTTGCCTTCAAATTGTCCACCTGCCAATAAATAGAAAACCTGCCATCATATGACCTTAATTGATAACACCTGAGAAAAATAATGTTATTTCTCTCTGTAAAGAGGGAGGGAAACAGCACATTAAGGATGCCCAAAACTCTCCGTATAGAGAACACGATTTCACATCATAAGGACAGTCCTTACTAGTAAATGTTCAGGAAATAACTACTAGTTGATAAAATCCCATCATGTCACAACAAAATACAAAATGTCATTCTGCTATTAAAAAAAGTACAAACCGGGAAATCCAACTGCTTAAGCAGCACTGCAGCCTCAGCTCTCAATTGTATTGATTCAGAATCTGAAAATAGCTTCTCCTGGTTAGAGAGAAAAATGTCAAATCATGAATGACAAGCTTCTTCAAAACAAACTTGAGCATCAACTACTTATTCCGCATAATATTTGAGATTTTAAGTTAACAGGGATCCATAATCTTTTAAGTTTTACCCATGTTTGGAAGAGTGCATTAGAAAGCATGGATAGGATTAGCCAATCCTATCAAATTTTATAATGAATTCAGCAAGTAAATAAGATAACATATAGCTATCTACCAAGAGCCTCATACCATGTAATTAGCTGATATGGTTGTTTATACAAGGGAGGTAGGATACAGCAGAATAACAACTTAACAATTAAACAATCCATAATATTTGATCTTACATGACCAAAATGATGTCAACATAATAAGGAATAAATGAAGAAATCCACAATGTCCCCTGGCTTGCATTTTGGCTGATTGGCCCATGTCCAAAGAGCCTGAAAAGGTGAAAGCACTATACCTGCAAATTTTTTACTATGATAGCTATTGCTTCTTCAGATGCTTGCTTACAATCCTGGAATGATGAATCTCCATATGCCTGATAAAGAGGGGGGGAAACCAAGATATTTCATTTGAGACCTAGATCAACATGCTGTGTAAAAGTAATAAAGGGATTGAATTAGAAACCATATCAGCCAAACACAACCTTAAAAATTGGCGTTGCTCCTGTGTAGAACCTGACTGCATCTGCATATGCCTCTGATTTGATGCACTTGCCAAGTCTATCAGGTAGATCATATATGAACTACTCTTCAACAAGGATGAAAAGTGTGTAAGTCATATTCCAAAGACATTTATCATGAAAAGTTAAAACTGTCATGCATGATATATATATATATATATATATAGAAGAACTATATAAAAAAAAGACTTGAACAAGAAGAGACATGTGGAAACACAAAAATTGCAGTGAACAATGAAGTGAAGCCAAGAAAAATATGCATGATAGCTTTTATACCTGAACTTTACGAAGAAGATTGCAAGTTCGATGCAGCTTCTCAATATGCTCCCTTTTGTCAAATAGAGAAGTGTTAACACTGTCACTCCTTGACTGCACAGACATTATCTGCATTGGGGAAAAAAAATATAGATTCCTATCAAACTCTCTTTATCTCCCTCTCTTCATTTTGCTTCTTTTCAATAAAGTTGGCGGAATGAAAACAAAATTCAAAATTGGACTGAATAAGTGAGTGCTACGGTTACCTTCTCAAGAAGCTGTTCCATATTCGTCTCCATCCCTGAAATGTTACTCTTCATCCTGTTTGACAAGCAAATATTGATTATCATTCTTTTATACACCACCCTCTAAACAGAATGTGCATTAAGAATTTGTTAACTGTATAGTGTATACCTCTTTATAGTATCTGTAGCGCTGATGAACTTGTTGTAATTCTCGTAGACTAGCATTTGCAAGTCAGTGTCGAGATTCTTTATTTCAGCTGCCATTTCAACATGCCGTTGGAGTAGCCCTTCCAAATTGGACTTATGCACCTACGATAATTAATGCATTTAATAAAATCTTTCGTGTTCCAAATTCAAACTCGTCTTCCACAAACGATAGCAATGAATAGTTTCAACACAAACAAAAAAGCGTAGTTCATTGGTTGAAGTACAAAAAAAATGAGAAAAATAATATTGGTAGATTCATGGAGGGTTACAAGGATGTTCATGTACTGATCTGGATCAAAGGAGGTAGAGTTGATGTCGTCGAGCTTGGAGGAGGCGTTGCCGGAATCGGAGGACATGGTAGGGTCTGGAGAGTAGAAACTTGATAACAGATCTCTCATCCTCTTTGCTTTGTCGTCCATTGGTACTTCATCTGCCACCATTTTCCCTCTTTCTCTTGTTTTTTTCCTCTGCTATGATTTGCTATGCCAAATTGCCAAGCCAACTCACTCCGATGACGATCTATGAAATTCTCAGATTTGGGGAAACGCAATGGCCATGGCGAATGAAGATTTTTCTCTCAGCCTGCTTGCCACCATGGAATCGGGCCCATTGGATCCAAAAAAACTGGTATGGCCAATTTACTAAACAAATGGGCCGGCCCGGTTTGTTTATCATGCCAAACATTTGATTTCAGTTTTGCCCTCGAGCGTAACTCTTTGCCTTCAATCTTAGGCACCGTTTGAAAGAGGTACTTCTTCAGCGGGAATGTTTAACTGTTTAAGGTGGGCAAAAAAATTAGAATATTGTATTTAAATTAAATAATTACGCATTTAATATTGTTTCGTAAAAAATTACACATCTACTGCACAATGTGACGTCAGTTTTTGGCGTCACATGTGACGCCCCATTGGGGCGTCTTATCCATGGGAGAGACACCCCAATGGGGCGTCACATGTGACGCCCAGAACTTGCGTCACATGTGTGTTCTATATATTTCCTCACCCCCTCCATTCAATTCACACATCTTCTCTCACTCTTCATATCTCTCTTCTCCACCAACATTCCTTTATCTTTAATTTAGTATTTGAATTTTAGTTGTAATTCTATTTAAAAATGAGCTCAAATCCTGATTCTGTTCGTGTTGTGTTATATTACAATGGTAGAAAGGTAGAAGGTCGACGAGGTGTCATATTCGAAGGTGAAAAAAGGCCGACACGTATCCAACGCAACACAACCATTGGCGAATTGCATCAGAGAATTAGGCAGAAGTTAAGTCTTCAAGACAACCAATGTATCACTTAGATCACGACAAGGGTGTGGCAAGGTGATAAATACATTAGTTTGAAAGTGCTTGACGATGAAGACTTGGAGATGACAATGGAAGAATTTTGCAACCAGTCAAGGACAGATTTTCTAGAGTTGTATGTCGACATCGTTGCAACGGAGAATGCTCCCATACCGGTGAGGTCAGTTTATTTAAATTCTCCCCGTCTTCCAGCTTCTCCTGCCGCTCATGCGTCTCCAGTTGGTATCTTTTCTGAAGGAGATGAAAATGATCCGACTTGGGAAATGCACGACGAAGATGACGATGAAAATATGGCCAATGGACAAATAACAACACCGTAAGTATCTAACACCAAACCTCATCTCTACAGAGTGTGTCCAATGTTGCCCGATAATGGGTGACCTCATGAGGTTTAAACTTTTGTACAGCATTAAACCTGTCAATCAAAAACATTATCAACCATACATAATCGTCCAAAGTCAAGAAGTATACAGTTAGTACATACAATATTAAGCATACATTATCGAAATCAAATGAAGTAAATAAATCATACTGGCATCCATAATGTGTGCCCGGCTGTAGATGAGGAGGAAGGGGTGGAGCAATGGGTGGGAATCGTATCCATGCCCAAATTTGAAGGAGAATATGGCAACCACCCATGTCGCTTCGACGGGCATCTGTCACTTCACACAAATTCCTGAACAAGTGTGTCAAAACTGCAGATCCCCAGCTGAATCGACCAATGTCCTCAAATCCTCCACTAGCAACGGGACAAGCCGACAACCAAAATTGCTACCTCCAGACTTGTCCGCCAGCAACCAAGTCCCCAACATCCGCGCAATGTGAGCTTTTGTGAAGTAGATCTCGGCAACATGATTCCCTTCAAGATCAGTCCACCGGGTATAATGTCGATCCAAGAATGAGATGCGGAGGTCGCCAGAATGATGGAACTCACCGGCCTCTGGAACATGTCCAAAAACACCAGCACAAGCAGCGTGCCAATCCTCAGAGGTCGATCCGATGACGACAGTACCGTCGGTCGGCAAGCCCAAGATGTCTGCCACATCTTGTAAGGTGATCGTCATCTCACCTTGGGTCATGTGAAAGGTATGTGTCTCTGGTCTCCACCTCTCGACCAGAGCACTAATTAAAAATGTATCTATCTGTGATAAATTACGCAGTTATCACGTGTTAACGAATTACATTATTTAATTATGTAAATACAAAACGACATAAATAACATACCTGGATATGTTGCATCCTGAAACATGTATGAAACCCGCCTGTCTGAGGTACTCTTCCACAACCTGTGGAATAGCACCGGTAGGTGGGCCCCCTTGTGGCTTCCCACACCTCGTCTTAATCTTTCTTACATGCTCAGTATTCCACACTCGCTGTGAAATATGACCTTTCTGCATTCTCTGACGAAGGACCTCCCACCTGTAGGGTCCAGGTATGATCCACATGCTGTGATCGGTGGGCTCTACATCCGAATCAGATCCCGAAGAAGATGATGACTCAGCCATTATCCTTAACTAACTACAAAGTTATGCACTCCCGCATTAATAACATCATACATACGAAATTTACAAAGTCTCTAACACTATTTATAAATCACTAATTAATATGCTAAACCCTAATACATAATTAAAAATCAGTAATAATAATAACTACGTAATAATAATATTACTATATCATTACAACATTCATAGCATGACACAAAATTTCTAAGTGACTCTATCCTAATGTTCCAAGTCTCTAATATACAATCAATCCTAACATGTATTACTAACTAGCACTGTAATTTAAATGTATACATATGAGGTATTATGACCTTACCTACGTTGGCAGAGCTTCGCTACGAACCGCGGTTAGAGAGAGGTTGGAGAGAGGTTAGAGAGGTAAATGAGTAAGGAGTGAAAAAAGGAAAGTGGGGTATATATAGGTTGCACATGAGACGTCCCAGTGGGGCGTCTTCTCTAGAGAGACGCCCCACTGGGGTGTCACATGTGACGCCCAAAGAGAGCGTCTCATTGTACAACAGATGTGTAATTTTTAATAAAACAACATTAAATGCGTAATTATTTTAATTAATTACATTATTTTAATTTTTTTGCCGTTTAAGGTGCACCTTCTTTTGAAGGGAGAATTAGTGTTAACCGTTGGATATGTAGAAATGGAGATGAATGACAACGATTGAGAACATGCTAACTGCGAATTAGGTAAGTCGTATTGTAAAATGGTACATGAAAATGGAGTTCATTATGTGAAATTGTATTTGCAAATAAATAAATCCTAGGGTTAGCAGTAATTCCTTCGTAGTGACAATCTATTTTTTTTACCAGATGGTTAATTCATTTTTGGAATTTTCGCTACTTTGCCTACTTTCGCAGATGAATTCAATTGATGATCTATTTGTTATCTAATAACTTTTAACTAAATTAACTTTCACGATTCATTGAAATTTCATTTTTGTATAAGTACTTATTGAAATGTCTATCTAAAAATTATTTCAGGTACGTTTTATTAATATTTTTAAATATTTGTTGCGTAACATTTTATATTTTTTTCGAGTTTTAACTTTCTAAAAACTTATTTAATTATTTTAAATTATTTAAGGGGGTGTATTGGATTGGGATTTCAAAAGATTTTAATGGACTATTTTTGAACAAAAAAAACAATTGGTATTCAATTAGGATTTTAAAGAATTAAAAAAATATCACATGGTATTCGATTAGAATTTTATAATATTATTTTAGAGCCAAATTCATTTGTAATCAATCAGTATTTTAAACAAAGGAAAAACAACCTTGTCCTATTCAAAAATTTGATGATTTTAATTGATTTTTTATTGGTGTGGATTTTGTTAGACTTTTTAATCAAAAATATAAATAGGATGACTCTCTCACAATCTCATCCTAACCCCTAGAGTTTCTTGATATTTCTTTATCGCAGTGTCTTCTTCTTCCTTTGGCATGTTGACCCGTTCGAAACCGAGTTCCGTCATATGAGCTTCGTCAAAGCTCAAAAAACCAGATTTTCTAGGAATTTTCATCACAACATAACCCAGAAACAGACAAGATTCTAATATAATCCATCTAAAAACTAGCAAATTTTTTAGCGATTTTTGACAGCTTTTAGAAGTGTAAAAAATAATTTTTCAATCTATGAGTCACGATTTTTCTTAACATAAAAAGGTGTAATTTTGTATTAAAAATAACATAAAACAGTAGAAGAATAACAGAGGAACTAAAACTCTCAAACTATTTTTCGTTTTATATCAATGAAACAATATCAATTTAAATAACAGATAGGATATTGTTACTACTAATTAGTGTTACTACCAGTTTATAAGAACAGATAGGGTATTGTTACTACTAATCAGTGTTACTATCAATGTCACCATCAGTTTTTTTATTGTTAGATCAATTATGTTGATCCAACGATTATATTTATTTTTACCTTTGTATGGTTATGATTTTTCATATTTGATGAAGAAAAGCATTAAATATGAGGAATCATAACCATACAAGGTGAAAAAAAAGTATAAAGTATTAAATATAGGGAGAAGAAGAAAAAATTTAGAAAGTTAAATCAGAATTGTTGGATCTATATAATCGATCTAACAGTGAAATAAACTAGTAGTAACATTAGTAATAACACTAATTGATAGTAACAATATCCTATCTCTTTTTAAAATCTTATAAATCCATATTATCCTTTCAAATCTTATAAATTATATTAAAATCCTTTAAAATCTAATGTTATAAAATCTTAATTTTAAAAAAAGTCTTTTAAAAAAATCTGTAAAGTCCTTCCACTTCTAAATACTCTTTTAAAATCTATAATATTTTTTATCTCGAAAAAGATTTTTAAATCCTAATCCAATACACTTATACCCCCATCTCTTGGAAAAAAATTAACTACAAATTAAAAAAAAACACAAACGTACATCAACTTATGGCGTGTATTGGATTGAGATTTTAATGGAATATTTTTGTACAAAAAAATTATTGGTATTCAATTATGATTTTAAAAGATTGTAAAAAAGTCACATAGTTTACGATTATAATTTTCAAAGATTGTTTTAGAGTTCGTCCAAATTCGGTGGTATTCAATCAGAATTTTAAACAAAGGAAAAATAATCTTATGGTATATAAAAATATGACGATTTTAGTGTGGATTTTATGAGACTTTTTAGTGAGAAGTATAAATAGCATGTTTCTTTCACAATCTCACCCTACCCTAAGATTTCTTTATTGTAATGTCTCACAATCTACCTTAACCATTTCTCAAAGCCAAGGTATATTTTTTGTACTCTCGTATATTTTCTCTGTTTTTGGCATTTATCTTATGTTATTTTTCTTCATGATTAACGGATGATTTATGGTTGTGCTTGTCGTCTCTAACGATGTGTTATATTTTATTTTATTTTTGATATAATCGTAGCACTGATAATACGTTGACGATAAACATGTTTAAAGTATATTGTCGATTAAAATTTTTCAAGACTTTTTATGCACCATATTAGGCACACAATGAGAGACAAAATTTCAATATTCATTTATTGAATAACAAGGAAAAAATTATTGTTGCTATTGCATAACTTGCTTTCGTCACTCAGTTAAAAGAGCATCTACTCAACAATGTTAAATATTCTCATACCATAATGAATGCAAGTTACTGTTTGACAAGACAATGTGAAAAAGAACCGTGCTCATTGCACAGTACGTATGCTAGCTGTTCACTTTATAATCTATTAAATTGGGATAAATACATTTGTATTTATTATAAATAATTTCATATAATAATTTTAATAAACATTTAAAAAAATATTGATGAAAATGAAATAAATTTTTTTAAATGTAATAACATGCTCCATCACACTAATAGCATGGAAATATATGACAAGGTTTTAATGAATTTTATGCATATAAATTAGGGAAAAACTACTCTTATGTTACATGTGATAAATTTATCTCCTACACATCATTCGATAATTGTGCCACCTTTTTCTTTTTTTTTCTTTTTATTTTTCAGTTGGTGGAGCCCACAAGTTTATCTTTATGACATGAGATAACTTATCTCCTTTAACATGAGATTAATAAAATCCTATAAATTATGGGATTTAATTCTCTCATGTTGCATGAGAATTGAATTCTCATGTTGTGACTCAACTAGTGGTGGACCCCACATTTATTAAAAAGAGAAAAAGAAAAGAAAATTTCCATAAATTATTGATTTGATTATCCTTCTTAAGAATCACATTTGAATGTTGTTAAAATTCATATATTTTTTTAAAATTTTATAAATCTATATTATCCTTTCGAATTTTATAAATTCTATTAAAATTCAATATTATAAAATCTTGATTATAACAAAAGTCCTTAAAATCTTTACATTTCTAGATATATTTTTTTGTGAATAAGGAGAAAAGTTAATTCTTTTAAAATCTATCAAAATAATCTTTTAAAATTCTAATTCAATAGATCCCTTATTTTATTTAATCAGTTAGGAAAACTTAGTTTCAAGTGTATTTATAATGGAAATAAATCCTCTCATGTTAAAATTCTACATGATCAGGTCATGTAAACTTTTTGTATCTATCTCTTTTTTTATTAATAATAATTGAATCTCATTTATTTAATGTATATATAAAAAAAATAGATACAAAAATTTCACATAATCAAATCATGTGAATTTCACAGGCATATGGTTGTGCTTGTTTTGGTTTAGCAACTGAACACAAATCTATACTTTTTTGGTCTCTTCTCTTGTTTCTAAAAAAAAGTATTATTATTTTTTATTTATCAAAAAGAAAAAATAGAAAATATTTAATATGCTTTAGGAGCACACAAAAATTTGATATTCCCCCTCATCAAATTATTTTTTTCTTTCTTCTTTTATCCCTATTTTTTTTTTAATCCTTCCAGGACCATCCAAAACTTAGTAAGAAAAATATGCTTCTCTTGTCTCTTCTCTTTTTTTTTTTTCCAAATAATTTTTCTGATTATTTTTATTCAAAGGGAGAGGTTATAGTTACTACTTTTTTTTTACTACTTATTACTACCAAATCTTAACCGTTGATTTTCACCAATCTAACGATTATAATTTATTAGAATTAATAATTAATTAATAAGTGTGACCCAATAAATTATAACCGTTAGATTGGCAGAAATCAACGATTAAAATTTGGTGGTTACAAGTAGTAAGAAAAATAATAATAACTATAACCTTTTCCTTATTCAAATACTTCAAGGTTTAATTAGATAATACAAGACAACCTTAGAAATAACTACCCACTAGCACCAGACAGACTCTACTAATAACTATGACCTATTCTTTATGAAAGTTAAAATTCAAATAACTACACATTGCTTAAACAACCAAACAATTCAAAAAATAATAAAATAAAAAAACGTAACAATATATATATATAGGTAGAGTTTTTTGATATTAATGTCAAATTTAAAATTTGACACTTCATCTTAAAATTATTAGATCAAAAAAGATCAACGACTATAATTTATAAGCATGTGACATCATTGATCTTTTTTGTTCTAATAACTCTCAGAACATCATTGATCTTTTTTGTTCTAATGACTTTCAGATGAAGTATCAAATTTTAAATTTAACACTGATGTTAAAGATCCTACTTCTGACGAATTCTTAATTGGAATTCGAGTATATCTTTTAATTTTATTAATTATTTGGCTTATCCCATTATGTATCCCATTATGATATTTTACATCATTGAATGGTCCCGTTTGAAAACAATTCGATGTATATATATATATATTGGATAACTACTTTATACATTTTAAATCAAATATACGTTTCCCGAACATTCATAAATACATAAGATAAGGTCTATAATTTAAGAAGTTACATTTTTTATCTCTCTAATTGAAGGGGAAAAAAAAATCAAAACGTAGAAAGTTGAGAACAGTTGGACATGTGAGGGGAAAAGCTGTCTTGCGTCAGTCTGCCGCCAGCTGTGACGCGGTATCAATTAAGCTCTAGAAAATAGATTTTTTAATTTTTAATATTTGATTAGATGAGATTTTCAATTGATATTTCCTAAACCGGTTCAGCGTCGCACGTTTCCATTCCCTTTTGTTTTTGTTTTTCCCTATAAAACTTGACCTTCACTTTCATGTTTATCTTCTTCGAATAAACCTTTTCACCTACCCATCTATTAGAAAACCATTCACCCAATCTCTTGTTTGTTTCATAACTCTTGTTCAATCGGTGATTTCCCTTCTCCTTTTCGGAAAATTGTGTGTTTTCAGCCAGTGCAGTTCTTCCAATCTAGGACTGAGTTAGATTAATAGATTTCTTTCTGCGTGGAGAGCACAGGGCTTTTGCAGAACACCTCGATGTTTACGGAATTTCTATGACCCTCGCCAACCTTATGCGTCGAATTCGTCTTCTGCACTCCTTCTCCGTTGCGTTCCTCTACTGGTTCTACGTGTTCTCATGAACTTCCTCTCAATTCCTTGATCTCTCTGTTTTTTTTTTTAGTTTTCTAGCAAATTAGATCCGCAAATTTTATTTCCATAATCTTGAGAAAATCATCCATCGAAAAACTCGTTGCTCCAAATCGGTTGAGAAGAGAAAGAAATGGCCTCGACTCAGCGTCCTGTAAGTTCAGGATCGGAAGGTGGAGATCCGCAGATGGACGAGAGGAAGAGGAAGAGGATGCTGTCGAACCGCGAATCGGCGAGGAGATCGCGGATGAGGAAGCAGAAACAGATGGAAGACCTAACCAACGAAGTGAGCAGATTGCAAAGCGAGAATAAGCAGCTAGCTCAGAGCATAAAGGTGAAGGAGGAACAGTACGCGGAGATGGAAGCAGCCAATGACATCGTGAAGGTTCAGACAATGGAACTCGCTGATCGATTGCGCTTTTTGAACTCCATCCTTGAGATCGCTGAAGATGTTAATGTGTTCTCCGATGAGATCCCTCTGATACCAGATTCTCTCCTCAACCCCTGGCAGATTCCTTATCCAATTCACCCCATTATGGCCTCCGCAGATATGTTAATGCATTGATAACAAGGCTTGTTTCCTTAGTTCCTTTGGGCTGGCATTTCTAGTCTTATGTTATCAGTGAATAAAGAGAGGGACTGGTGGGTGTGGAAGCTAAGATGTTATATTTGTTTGTTGTTGTTGTTGTTGTTGTTGTAATGTGTATGTTTTGTGTTAATGGCGTTGTCTTGTTTTGTTTATGTGTGCAATTTTGTTCAGTTATCTTGAATTTAGTCGTTCGCCGCCCTCGATTGCATGATACAATTGTGATTTGATCGGCTTTTATTTAGTGGTTTCTTCACCGGAGCTTCTAGGCCATGGGCTGTATTCCATGTGTTGTGTAATTTATTTAGTTAAACGAAGTTAATATTCCATAATGTACAACCCATGTATTTTGTAATTTATTTAGTTATACGAAGTTAATATTCCATAATGTATAATGACATCAACATACATAATGGGCGTTATCAATATGTTGTTACTGGTATTTGTATTTGTTTTTGAGATAGATACTTCCTTATAAACCAATATTTAAGATCAATTTGTTGGTAACAGAATTAAAACATTAATCTTTTCTTTTCTTTTTATTATCAAATGGTATAACGGTTTACTCGGTGCAAGTCAACTACGCCAACTCTTTGATTCGGTCGAAGTAGGTCATTTATGCCAAAATAAACTAGTAGGTACAAAAGAATACTCCTAACAATTTGATCTTTAAGTAATTAACATAGTTAAAATTCAGATCATGCACCTATCCACCCATCATATGTTCATTTATGATTAACCCAACTCTTATCATTGTAAATTCGTGCTTGTTTGGTTTTAGTTTTTATTTAAGAACAATTATTATTTTTATCAGAAGCTCTCTCAACTATTGTAAGCTGTTTTGAACATAGAATAATCTAATCAAAATACACACTAAAAATATAATAATTAATACATGTATGGTACCAGAAAATTTACAGGCACATTGAATCTTGAAGTATCTTAGGTAGTGTTTGGTTGAAGGTTTATTTTGATATTGATTGGAAAGTGTAAGTGGATATTGGAAAATACCACATTTGGTTCAGGTTTTTTCAAAAAATACTAGGCAAATAGGATAGATGGGAAAATGACTTTTGTATTGATTTTTGGATGAAATTCACTGTTACAGAATACCACTTGAGATGTGGTATTTTGAGATAACTGGAAAAGTGAAAAAACAGGTGTAAAGTTTCTCCCGAACATAGATTTTGCATATTTAAATAAATTTCCCTGGTAATATTTCGGTCAACCAAACAACTTTTTTTACATTTTTCTACCAAACCCATTTTTCAACCATTTCCCTATCAATTACATTTTTCTAGTAAAAAAAAATTTCTCTCGAACCAAACGCTACCTTATGGTTTAACTATTAAAATATAAAAATTTGCATCATAAACATATTAAGTAACCAGCTTCAGGTTGATTGATTTCTTAACCACCAATGTCCTTAAACTATCTTTCCAAAACTCACGTCAAAATTAATTTTTTTTTTCAAAATCAAGTATAAAACGAAAATTGAAAATTAAAAAAGAAAAGAAAAGAAAGAAAGTGATATTGTTCACGACGGGAAAGTTTAAGTTGTCGAATATTCCTGATTCCTTGCTTTATTTATTTCCAGCCAGGGTATCTTTTTAGTTTATTCCAATTATTCCCTTGCCCTTTGTAGATGATACATGCTTATTAGGTAATTCCCTCGAATGTTCGCCCGTGATTTATCAACCGACTAGATAGTTCGTACGGAGAAAAGAGATATTAAACGACTAAGAGGTTTTTGGCTCGACTTGTAAAAGCTTAAGCTTACATGTTTAAAATTGATTGTTGGTACCAGGTTTGAACTTGTATAAAATCTCGTTTAATAAAAAGGTCTCAGACTTCAATTCAAAAATTTAGTCTTAGAACCTCACAGTCTGACTTAGTATATTATTATTATTATTTTATATTTTTTATACTAGTTGCAATGGCTCTATCTTTCTCCTCAATTCATTTAAACTTATTTTATTGGTTAAACAGACTTTTTGAATGATTTTGTTCTATATTATGTTATTTGGATATACATTGAATTTATGAATATTTATAGAATTATTAGTGTTGTTGATTTTATATTCTGTTTGGATAAATTTTTGTTGTCTTATTTTTTTTTAAAATAAGCTAATAGGTTAAATCAGATTTTTATAAGTTAGACCACATGCTGATAATTATATTTATAACAAGTAACAGACTTGATTAAATTGACACATTTAAATATAAATTTAACCTTTTAAAATCAAAGATCGCTCGACACGTTAATATTTCTACTCACCAACCCCCAAGTAGGTGGATTGAAACTAACTGTTCAGAGATTTACTTTGACCAGTGATTAAATGTTAGTCAAAATAATTTTTTGAAATTTTTGGTATTAGAGAAAATTGCCTCTCTCTCAAATGAAAATTAGTTTCGTACTTTCTTCGGGCAACAGTAAGAATAAGATAACAGGAGGAAATTGTATAGGATCAGCATATACTTCCACGTTATCTTATAAAAAAAATTTGCTGACCTGAGGTGTCGTTTTGAATCTCTTCTTATAATCGAAAAAAGTCCCCTGATGGTAGTAAAGGTAACCAACTGGTGCCAAAGTATTCTTTTCCTAATTACCAACCAAAGATATTTTCACTTTCAAGTATAGTTCGCGGAATTGACCTGTCAAATTTTTTCTTTGTTGGCTGGCGGTGATGAACATCGCCCTCCATGCACATGGTAAACAAATATGTAGTTATATCACGCATACATATCTCACTAGTGGCATACTTTAATTCTAAAATAAGGCAACACCTTCATTTCTTTAAATTTTATGTATAAGAAAGAGAAAGTATTTCTGCAGTTATTGCAGATAAGTTATTTGTATTTATTTACAAAACGATGTTTTGGTATTGAAATCTTAAAAAATTATAAATATAATGACTATTACAACCCTGAAATAAATTAAAATTATAAAAACACCATGATTTTTACCCAAAATGACGTCGTATTGAACTTGCTGCAGATAATTAATCTACGGTAGAAAAAACGAACCTTATAAAAAATCGTAACAAAGTAAGAATGATTAGGTGCCTTCATTTCATTAGTTTAGGGAATGGACTAAAAATATTATGCATTTACTTGACTTAATTAAATGTTGAAATCATCAATAGAATAGAATGTTAAAATGATCTGTGCTAATAACTTGTCAAAAAAAAGTGAGATGGGCTAATTCGGTTAGGGTCCAGCCCGAGGCTGACGAAGAAAGACCCGATTCTTGCTATGTCTCTTAGGGGCCGTTTGGTAGGCGTTTTATTTTGCAATTTCCGGGAAAACAACACTTGACAAGATTGAATCCCGCGTTTGGTAAACCAAAAAGAAAATCTTTCCCGACCACAAACTTATCCCGAGAATTCATACCAAGTGTAATGAACAGTACCGATTGCAAAGATGAAAACTCCATCTTGAAGATGGAACCATTTTGTTCCCGGGAAAAGATGATTTGAGGCGCAAAATAATTGACTAAATTAACCCTCATTTTTGTACGATGGGTGTCAAATCCTGAGCAAGCTGTGCTGCTTTACTTGTTCGTGTATTTGGAGAACATACAGATGACAACAAAGCACAAATCATAACAAACAACAACAAAAAAACAGAAATTGTGAAGCTCGCAGTAAAAGGAACCCAGATAAGATTAAAGATGAAAAAAGAAGACTTTAACAAGACGAGAGCAGGTGGCGAAATTAGCAGCGAGATCGTTGATGGAAGTTATCTGAGCCGCAGCAACTCGGACTGAGTTAGTGGCCATCGTTGAGACAGAGATAGAGAGAGAAGCTCGCAGGTTTTGCCGTTGGACTAATGAGTACGGCAGGGACATTTTCGTAAAATTACATAACATTCTTACAAATATATTACAACCAACCAAACACACACCCACTAATTTTTAAATAATTTCCCGGGAAAATTTCATCATACCAAACAGCTTTTTACAAATTTGTCAGTAAAATATATTTTTAACTATAACTCAGTAAACATTCTTTCCTGGATTAATAAAAATTTCTCTTCTACCAAACGCCCCCTCAGTTAATTCAAAAAAGATGGGCTCAATGGTTGTCGTTATAAGGTTGCTTGCTTCTACATTAATCTAAGAGACACGGTGTCTGTTGGTTATAGCAAAGGTAGCATTGAACAACGATAAATAAATTGCAGGTGGAATTGGTGGGAGTAACAGCAAGATTATATATTCTTTAATGAAAACCACTGGCAGCATCTATTAAAAAAAAAACACTATTAAAAAAAAAACACTAGCAGTAGCTGTAAATCATTCTCACTTCTTTAAGGACTTTTTCTTTAATATAAACACAAACTTAAGCTATTTGAACGGGAAAAAAAAAGGAGAGAGAAAATTTGATGTTTTACTTATTTATTTTTGCGAACATATGATGTTGTATTTATGTGCACTCTTAAGAGTTTTAACTCTCTTTTTTCTCCATCCCAATTGTAGACCTTTAACATTTCTGTATTAGTTTAAAGGGATTTATTTTGTTCATTCTAATCAATGTTTTAAATACGGATTGCACCGACTAGTTTAATTCATCAGATTATAAAATAATTATGTCTTTAATTTAATTGTTTTTATTATATGATTCAATACGGAAATAAATTCAATTAATTGAATCAATCCGAATGATAATTCAAAATTTACACTGGATCAATATATGATTTGATCTATAAAAGATTGCTTTTTTTTTTGTGAAAAATTAAAGCCAAAAAATTTGTTAAGAAATATTTAAATTATAAATATTAAATTTATTTATATAATTATACATTTTATATTTAATTATTATATTACTTAACAGCACTAATTTAAATTTTTACATCATTGACACGCAAAACATATTTTATAAAAAAAATTAATTTAAATTCAACTATATTATAAAAATATTCATTCATTATATTTACAAATTTTTTGTTTATAAATTCAACTATATATTTTAGGGAAAACATTCATTCACATGTATTAGAATGAATGAATCATTGAAAAATTAGAATGATAAAAACTATTATAACCCTGTAATAAACTAAAATTACTAGCACACCATAATTTTTGTCCAAAAATAGCATCATTTTATTAAACATTAGATAAAAAATTTTAAAATAACATTAGATACTTTATTTCCTTAAGGATATATTACATTATCACATTAAAAACATGGAACATTTTTAATTATTGTAGTCATTCTTACAATACAAAATGCCACTATGAGACAAGTGACATCTAGGGATGAAAGTGGGCTAGGCTGGATCAAGTTTTGCTCTGAAAATTCCAAGCTTATGCCAAAAAAATTCAACTTGGTCTGGCCCAAACCTAGTAAGAATCTAACTG